GCAGGTGGCCGTGGAGCGCGACGCGAGCGGGCGCTCCAACTACTCGATGTGCGCCGTCAACCCCAGCCGCATCTCCAAGACCTTTAACGAGGAGGCGCTGCGCTTTGTTGTCAACGGCATTGCCGAGGAGACGGGCTGGCTGCTGGAGATTGTCAACTTCAACATTGCTAACATGCAGTACGTGTGCGCGGGCGACCTGCGCGCGCTCGACACGCTTGCGGGCGTGACCAACTTCCTCAAGGTGCAGAAGATCGACATTGACCAGATGCGCGAGCAGCTCAAGATCGAGCAGGTGCGCGAGCATCTCAACGAGATCATCCGCGGCTGCGCGCAGGAGACGGAGAAGAAGCCAACGCCGCTGGAGCTGCAGCGCGGCTTCGCGACGATCCCGCTGCGGGGCATCGACGTGCCGTTCCACTCGACCTTTTTGCGCAGCGGTGTCAAGCCGTTCCGGTCGTTCCTGCTCAAGAAGATCAACAAGACGACGATTGACCCGGCGAAGCTCATTGGCAAATACATTCCCAACGTGACGGCCAAGCCGTTTGCGCTGACCAAGGAGTACTTTGAGGACGTGTACAAGCTGACCAACTCGCCGCGCATCGGCCACGTGCTGGCGAACTGGGACAAGTACCAGGAGGACGGCGTTGTGAACGGCATACACGGCACGGAGACCAACGGTGTCGAGATCAATGGTACGAACAGTACGAACGGTACGAACGGTGCTCAGGTCGAGACCGACTCGGACAGCGTCGAGGCATAGGGGCGCCTTTCGATGCAACAGAAGCGGTCGCTCTGGAATGTGGCCGTTTGCAAGGAGGTGCGGTGAGGTGTAGGCAGCGGGTGCGAAGGTGCACGGTAGAGCACGAAGCGGTGTCTCGTTTTGCGCCGAGGAACGCATTTGAATGAAGCGACATTGTGTATTTCGGAGTGTAGATTTGTTTTTTGTTTGGTTCGTTGCTTGCTTGTTTTTGCTGCATGTTTTTGCTATTTTGTGTTCGGTTTCACGAGTCGGATGTTTGCTGGTCTGGTACTGTTTTACATGCTGTTTGCACGTTCCCATTTCACATTTTACACAAAACAATATAGATAACTAATAAAGAGAGAAGCTCGAAACTACGTTGGCGATAGCAGTCCATGATGTGAGAATGCCGTGAGCGAAGCGCAGATAATGGATGTTTCACAATGCCGTCCAGTCATGTGACGTCCATTCTGAGTCGGCCGCCGCCGCTAGCCGGCGAACCCCAGAAAAGCACTGTAAGCAGCCTCAACCGCCAAATCGTATTGCTCCACATGTGAAGCAGCAGTTTTGGCCAAAAGCGCGGACGGGTTCACCACAACCGGCCGCAACCAGCGATCGTGCGGAGGAGAACGGAACTGTGCCGGAGGGGAAGAGTGGACAAGAAAACAGAAAGAAAAAAAGATGCGCAAAGGGGAAGACAAGCAGCCGTTTGCATGGATCCGCGTCTTATTGAGCAAACTGCGGACGAGTTGACGGCGCTGCTCCGCACATCAGTTTAGTACAAAGCCGACTCCACGGGGCGTCAACAAGAATCAAAGTCCCTCGTACGATTTTATTTGACTGTTTCCTCGGTTTGCGGTTTTATTCTTTCCTAACGGTGATCCAGAGTACACGGCAAAGCACAAACCTCCCGGATCAAACAGACGAAAGTCCAACGACAAAGGGCTGGCTAGTTGACCTTTCGAAGCCTGTCGAACCTGCGTCGTTCCAGTCCCGAGCCCGTTCTCAACTCCCCGCCAGCTCCCTCTTACTGAGCGCATCGTCATCCTTATCTCTGGCTGTCCTGCAGACGCCACAGCTTTTTGTCTGTGATACACTCGTTTGGCACACCTCGCGCCTTCCCTTTGCCGCTCTTTTTTCATTCTTGCCTTTTTCTGCTAGCCATTGGAATCGATCCGCCTTTGTTTGGTGAAGGGAAGGAACGACCTTTGCAGCTGCAACTTATTTAAATACTTCTTAAGGAAGGCACAGGTCTGCTGCGTGAGGGGGCTCTCCGTGTGACTTGGGAAAGAGCGACCTGTCTTCTTCCGCAGCCGTTGTCTGTCATCATCGCTGTTGTGATCGCGATCCTTTCCAGAAACCACACAGCTCAAGGGGACGACCTTGGACGCAGCAACTCCTGTGGCACGTGTTGTCTGCGCCGCGCTTTTCATTCCCTTCCGATTTCTTCTTCCTCCATATCTTTTTCGCAGCATCGATTATCGTACTGCAGCTCATTGCACGTATAGCCGGCGCTGCATTGTGCATTTCGACCTCCAGCAAGCTTCACGACCGCCTGCGTCGTCTACGTCTCACGCCTGTCCCCGCGAACAGCCGGTGCGATGGCAAATCAAATCTTCTTCGGGACGTTTGTCCACACGCCGGCCCTGGACCAGATCGAGTACCTGCACGACACCGTTGTGGCGGTGGAGGCGACTGGCGTGATCTTTGCGATTGAGGAGCTGCCGCCGATCGGCCGACACAACCCGGTGGCGTGGATCCGCTCATCGCTGTTGCCGAACCTCGGCTGGGCCGCCGACACTGCGATCACGGCGACACGGCCGGGCCAATTCTTCTTCCCAGGGTTTATCGGTGCGTCCTCGCCCCCGTTCGTGCCCATTCGTGCCTGTGAAACGTGCCATGCTAACAAAGTCAACACAGACACCCACCTCCACGCTTCGCAATACCCGAATGTTGGCATCTTTGGCAAGTCCACGCTGCTGGACTGGCTCAACAAATACACATTCCCGCTCGAGGCGTCCCTGCACGACCTTGCCAAGGCCCGCCGGGTGTACGGCCGCTGTATCCGCAAGACGCTGTCGCACGGCACGACAACAGCGGCATACTACGCCACCGTCGACGTCGCGTCGACCAACCTGCTGGCGGACCTGTGTCTGCAGGCGGGCCAGCGCGCGCTGGTGGGCCGGGTGTGCATGGACCAGCACGCCTTCAGCCCCGACTACTACCGCGACGAGACGCCCGAGGAGGCGGAGGCGGCGACGCGCGTGTGCATGGACCACATTGCGCGCATCGACCCCAAGCACACGATGCTGCGGCCCGTGCTGACGCCGCGGTTTGCGCCGAGCTGCACCGGCGACCTGATGGGCCGGCTGGGCCGGCTGCACAAGGAGGGCCCCTGGCCCATCCAGACGCACATCAGCGAGAACACGAGCGAGGTGGCGCTCGTCAAGGACCTGTTCAAGGGCATTGTGCCGCCGTCGGCGGGCGAGGCGGACGGCCTGCCGTCGTATGCGGGCGTGTACGACCACTTTGGGCTGCTGACGCCGCAGACGATCCTGGCGCACGGCGTGCACCTGACGGAGGCGGAGGCGAGCCTGATCCGCGAGCGCGGCAGCAAAGTGTCGCACTGCCCGTGCAGCAACAGCGCCATCACGTCGGGCGCGGCGCGGGTGCGGTGGTTGCTGGAGCGCGGCATCGAGGTGGGGCTGGGCACGGACATGAGCGGGGGCTACTCGCCGAGCATCTTGGAGGCGGCGCGGCTGGCGAGCATGGTTAGCCGCCACGTGGCGATGGGCGGCGACGACGCGGCCAAGCTGTCGGTGGAGGAAGTGCTGTTTCTTGGCACGGTGGGCGGCGCGCACGTCGTGGGCATGGGCGACCGCCTGGGCCTGTTCCGGCCGGGCATGCTGTGGGACGCGCAGCTGGTCGGGCTGGCGCTGGTGGACGCCAGCGGCAACGCGGACGTGACGAGCGGGTTTGCGGACGAGACGACGGGCGCCGAGGCGGACGCGAGCCTCTCTGAGGAGGAGGGCAACGTGGACGTGTTTGGGTGGGAGACGTGGGAGGACCGGATTGCCAAGTGGCTGTTCAACGGCGACGACCGCAACACGAAGAAGGTGTGGGTCAACGGGCGGCTGGTGCACGACCGCAGCGCGCGGGCGGCGCAGGCGCGGGCGACCGCCAACGGGACGGCGGCCAGCGCGGTCTCGGCATAGAAGGTGGTGGCTGCGTTTGTCCTGGTGGGCCTGGCGACGGTGTCGGCGCTGTTTACCCTGCTTCTCTCGACGGTGCCGCGCATCGCCAAGCTGTTGGAGGACGTGTTGTCGGCGTCGTCGTCGCGGCCATGAACCGTCGGTGTTTTTTGTTGTTCTTGTTGGGCCATTACGAGCTTGCTTTCCTATACATCTCTCGTTGGTGACTGGCGTTTGGCCTCTAGGCCTCTTTGACCTCTTTGGTCTCTTTTGGTGTTTGTGTACGGTCATTGTGTCGCCCATTATTTTAGAATTTATGGATTTTTCACAGCCACGGCAGCAATGAGAGTACGGAGTACACAGTCTGGAGATGCTGCCATCTCGTACAACGGGAGGGGACTGTGGAGAAGGAAATGTATGGCAAAAGTGTCACAGTCACGCGGTCTGAGAGGCACAAATCAAAAAACATGTAATACCATGCATGGCCGATATTCCACAAGCTTCCTCGGTGTATGTGGTAGATTTTCTGGCTGTCGTAACCAAGAGCCTGTTCCGGCGTATGTACATGTTCACAGACAAAGAGGCCATGAGTTGATTGTGATATTGATCATAAATATGAATGCGTGATTAGGTGGTAGGTGCCATGGGATAGAAATGAAGAACGTAATGGAAACGCGACTATGCAAACTGAAGAAAATAAGGCACAGGCAGCAAGGACCAACGCCCCATGTCCGTACTCCGTCATGGCCATGCCAGGTGGGAAGCGAATAAAAGGCAGAAAAAGGAAAACGGTAAATAGATAGGACATTGTGAAAAAGAAAAAAAAACGAAAGAAAAAGCATGAAAGTGATTGCCCGTTCATCAATCTAGACGAGATATTTCGAGGATCCTTGTGACGAAGGATGATCAATAAACAAAGGAAGCAAATGAAAAGAAAGAAAATCAGGAGGAAAATTAAAAGTCAAACGTAATCGGGGATAGGTAACGGAGAATAAAAACAGCCGAGAGTAAAAAGGACCATCGCCACCAACTCTTGCCCACACCGTTCTTCCAGTAGAGACTTGAGCCTCCTAAGCCAGCATGCCGACCACGATCGAGCTGCCGTGACGAGAACTGTTGTTTCCCTCATCGTTGTCGCTGTCGTTGTCGCTGTCGTTGTCGCTGTCGTTGTCGTTGTCGTCGTCGTCCTCGTTGTCGTCGTCGTGGCCATCATCGTCGCCGTCAGCATCAGTATTGTGTCCCCGCGATGCCTTGCGCTGTCCTCTCGACGAGCTGCTCGATTGGCTTTCTCTTTGGCTGCCGCCGCTGCCTCTGCGTCGCTTGGGCGTCGTGGGCGTCGTGAGCGCCGAGGCGGCGCGTCCTTTTGCGACTCGTCTGGCCGGCGACGGCATCCACGACGGTCCCCGCCGCTCTGCCGCGGCGAGCTGCCGCCGCAGCTGCTGCACTTCGCCCGCCAGCTGCGCCCGCTCCCGCTGCAGCACCGCAATGGTTTCTTCGGCGGCCTCGATGCGCGCCACCTTGCGCTGGCGGCTGCGCTTGGCGGCCTCGTTGTTGCGGTCTTTGAGGCGCTGCTCGCGCACGCGGTCGAAGCGCAGGTTGGCGGCGCGGCGGGCCTCGAGCTCGGCGGCGTCGAGGCCTTCGGGGAACTCGAGCAGGCGGACGAGGCTGGCGTCCAGGCTGGCTTTGTGGATGGCCTGCTCGCAGTAGCGCAGACGGGCGCGCCAGTCGGCCGGGTCGGTTGGCGGTGGGCCGTTGATGTTGATGTGGGTGGTGACGGTGGGACGGGTGTTGGACGGGTCGGCTATGCCACTGGTCTCACCATAGCAGTCGTCGTCGTTGTCATCGTCGTCGTCATCATCGGCGCTGCCGAGGCTGCTGCCGCGCATGTGGCTCTGGCCACGGCGGCATTCGGTGGACGGAATGGGATCCGAGGCCGAGCGGACACTGTGCGTGCTGTGCGTGTTGTGAGCGCTGTACGCACTGCGGACGTGGCGAGCACGGCTGCGGGTCAGTGGCGGGCTGTTGTTAACATGGTGGTTGCTGCGATCATTGGCAGTGGTCTCCATGGCGGCTGTTGCGGCTTGCGGCAGTGAGCCGAGGCCCGTGTAAGCAGACGACAAGGCCATGGGCGCCATGGATGTGTTGAACGGGTAGCCGGTCGAAGTGTAGCCGATCGCGTAGCTGCTAGGCGGATCGCCGTATGGCGAGGCAGACGAGGTACCGTTGTCGAGAAGCATGCCTGGCTCGTCGAAGAGGAACGGAGAGTGGCGCGTGATGGCGGACGTCGAGCTGTGGTCTGTGTGGTTGTACGTTAAGCCAGTGTTGCTTGGGTAGCCATTTGCATCCTCTGGTAGCGCCAAGTGCATAAGGGCATCCACGTCGATGTCGTCAAAGTTCATGTCCATGGCCGTGTCCAGGCCCACATCCAGGCCCATTCCCGTGCCAATGTCGGCCACATGCCCATGGTTGGTGAGGTCCAAGCTGTTTCCCCAGTCCTTTCCGTTGTTGGGAACATGTCCGTTGCTGTCTCCGCTGCTGTTTCCGTTGTTCTCCTGCTTGTCGTACATGTGCCCACCAAACAGGTCGTGCGACGCTGTGGCCGTCGTCTCCGTGGGGAGAGGCGGGGACATCGACAGAGGCATCGCCATGGGTGTAGCCGTAGACATGGACAGGGGAAGCGACAGTGGCAGAGACAGAGGGAGCGCCATATGGTTCGGCGGCATCTGCAGCGGATAACGTCTCAACGAGGGCGGTGTCGGGGTTGTTGTCGACTGCTGGGTCGTTTGTCGTGGCGGTGTTGCCGGCAGCGACGGCTGGGAGCTGCGGCCACCGTCCATGGTGGGTGTTCTCAGTGTATCAATGGATCTGTGCATGGCAGGATGAGTTAGTGGGCGGGCACCTCGGATTTTGATTTGATTTTGATTTGATTTTGATTCTGAATTTTGTCACGAGGCCCATGGACGCAACGTACCGTGACGGTCGGACAATGGTGAAAGGAGGAACGTGCTCGTGGTGAGGTACAAAATTGTTGGAAAGGGGAACGACGAGGGAGAGGAAATATGACGGTCAAGAGGGAAACTGACCTGTTTTTTCGAAATGTTGTTTTTAAATCTGTGCTTGTGGAACGTTGTGATGGTAGACTGCAAATATGTATCACTTGTGAAAAGAACAGAAGAACAGAAGAACAGAAAGCAGAAGAGCAGAGACTTTAAGAGCGAGATCTGGCACTGGACATACGGGCCGGCATGCTGCTTTTAAATCTGTGCGCGTCCGTGGACTTGAATGCCTTTTTCCTGTCCTGTTCGTAAGCATCGCCGACCTGCTGGGCATGAGAGGAAAAGGACCTCGTCATCACCTGCGAAAAACAAGGCATCGGACGACGCCCTGTCCCATGGGTTTCTATTCAACGACTATCAAGTGCCATCAAAGGCCAGAAAGACCATCCGTTGCCTACTTTCCTTTCCCAAATCTCCATCCCATCTTTGGTCGGCCCGTTTCTGCCTCCATTCTCTATTCAGGAGGGCCTGAAGAGGCCTCTATGGCATTTCGAATGGCAATTCTGAGTGGCATTTCGGGATGATACAATGGTCTTGTTTCCATATTGTGTCTATTCAGCATGTCTGTCGGCATGTCTTTCAAGCGGAAAGTGAAGAGGCGAAGAAGAACCAACATAATGCTCTCTCATGCGGGACTGATCTTGTAACCATGACAAGCTAGCAGTATTCATATTCAACGTTAACTTATGGACAAGGCTCTTGCAGAGCTGTGGGCCTGCTTTCCCTTCGTCTTTCTTTCCTTCTTTCAGTTTTAAAGTGTCGTCCATTCATTCACTTCATGGGATGTGATTTTGTGTACCCTGGAGCCAAAATTGGCAGAGGTGGCAATATAAGATGCTGCGTTCTGCAGTGCAAGGGAGCCATATGGAGCTATATGCAGTCTAGCGGTCGAGTATCTATGTGCCTGCATATGGAAGCGATCAGACAGGAGAGAGAGAGAGACAGCGAGACATGAGGACGAGGTGAGACGGAGACACGAAATTAGAGGGCAGACGGTGAAAAAGGTGAAAAAGGTGGCAAACGTCAGTGATACAACAATCGGATCCGAACGAAGGCAAGGACGATGGTGAAGACACGCAGTAAAGTCAATCAGTGAAGCCAATCAGTGAAGCCACTGGCATGCCATGCCATGTGGGGGAGGGATCGCGGGCGAAGATGGGACAGGAAAATCAATCGAAATCAAATCGAATCAAATAGAGGAAAACAACCGATCAGGACAGCCTTCAAATTGCATCAACCACCACCACAAGCGTTTGTCGCACACACGTTACATGGACGTACAAAGGTACAAAGGCTCTGCAGGGCGATCTTGTGTCTGCTTGGCTGTGTTGCCATCCACACCGTCACGACGTACAGGTGGACAGGTGGCTGTGGACTGTGTACCTGAGCGTACCTAGACGCCGGGCCTGTTTGTGTGACACGACGGACAAGAAGCGCAACTGGATGTCAAAACGTCTTTTCGCTGCATGGTGCGCCCCTCTGTTTGCACATAATTTTTATCGTCGTTAAATGCAGTCTATTATGTTGTCGTTAATAACAGAAAATCAAAAGAAGGTCCAAACAGAAGATATACACTCCATGCCGGTAGGAACACCCCGAGAAACCAATAGAAGCAAGACCGACGCCTTTTCCACCAGAAGACCCATCCATCGGACGGACACAAAACAACAAAAATTAATGTAAGAAACATGTTAAAAGAACGACAGACCGCCCCCTAGTAGGACGCCGTCTGATGGCTGTACGCGGGCTGTGGTTGGCCGTAGAGAGGCTGCTGCTGCTGGCCGTAGGCCGTCTGCGGCTGGCCATAGACTGGCTGCTGTGGGTCATAGATGGACTGCTGGTCGTAGGCCGTCTGCGGCGGGTACTCCACCGGCGGCTGGCCGTACGGGGCGGCCGACGCGGCCGGGTCTGTCGAGTAGATGAGGGTCTGGGCCTCCTTGTTGGGCTCGACGCTGCTGTAGCCGCCACCCATGCCGACCGGGCCCATCTCGGACTGGTGGACGGCCGGACGGTCGCTCACGCAGGCGCGGACCATGCAAAAGAGGTTGACAATCGACAGCACCCAGATGATGGCGCCGAGGCCCGCCGACGCCGCCAGAGCCCCGCCCTCCTTGGCGGCGTAGCTGTTGGGCTTGACGCAGGTGCCGTCGTAGCAGACGGTCGACAGCCAGAGCGCGGCCACCGAGGCGGCCCAGGCCCAGGCGGACAGCCAGAAGATGATGCTGAGCGCGTAGGCGACGGCGGCGGCGATGCGCGGGAAGCTGCGCGGCATCGAGATCTCAACAAAGAGGAGGATGCCGTAGATGAGCCACGTCTTGACGGCGACAAAGATGAGCAGGCCGGGGGCGCCCGAGTAGCTGCCGAGGTAGCCGGCACGAGAGCCAAAGACGGACAGCGCGAACGCGGCGAGGGCGAGCACGACGACGGACAGGACGATGATGACGATGCGCAGCGGCAAGAGGAACTTCGGCATCTTGGCCGGCACGCCGGAGGCGAACAAGCCGCTGGCCATGGTGACGGTTGGGGACGAGGTGGTGGTCGAGAGGAGGAAGAGGACGAGGAAGAGGTGGTGGTGGAAGACGGCGAGTCTGATGCAGAGCTGTTGCTGGTGACGAGGATGGAAAGAAAGACAAGACAGCCAAGCAAACAAAATAAGACTTGGGCCAGCGCCCTGTTATATGGACAGCACGACGCCCAACTAAAATCAAGCCCTTCAGGAGCACAAGAGAATTTAGAATTAAAAAAAGAATACACAGTACTTTGGACAGAGGTCTGGTATGGCAGGGGTCAGACGGCCAGGCCCTACAAGGATGTTGCAACCTAACGGCCGATGGACGAATACGTGAAAATGTGCCTCGTAGCATCCATTCGTTGTCCGAATTCCTCACTCAGGCGGCAAACCCCTTGATCTGAAGTACTGTCTACAACATACTGCATGCCCCTTTTGATATCCATGCCTTTCGTTTCTGCAATATAGGTCATGTTAAGAACACTGATCGTGCGTCCTTGTTAAGTAAAGTGAGCCCCCCCTCTCTCAGAGTTGGGCGTGGATGCAAGAAGAACAGTTGCAGTCGATAAAGACTCAATTCTTGCTTTTGCAACATGAAGTCGGCATTTGTCAAGAGAACCGAAGGCTCGTTTTCCAGTACGCCAGAGGACGACGCATCCCATAAGCATCCCCATAATTTAGACATCGACAAGGGTGTGGACTCTGCAAGCCAAAAAAGGGAAACGAGACACGAGAAGTGGAGGGATAGGCGCGCTAATCTGCCGCTTTTCGTCGACGACAACGCCTTGCCAAGGAGGCTCGAGGCGCAAGCCAACCTGGCAGCCAGTGAAAAGGGAACTGCAAGAGACGCGATCAGCGAACTGCGGCAAAAAAATGGGAAAAAAGGGGGGGACAGCCAAGACGTAGGGCGCGTCGAGCGTTGAGAAACTTAATTTCGACGACGGACTAAAAACACACCCTCTTTATCTCGCGTTCTCGCATTTGCCATGGAACCCTATCTTTGGTCCTCAGCCTCAAGATCGGCGCTGCCTCTGTTCAGACTTTGCTGGCCCCTTTTCTGTCCAGAGCTGAGTCTGAGGTTTGCAGCCAGAAAGACAGAATAGAAAATAAGTACCTTCCGAGCACGCGGTGCGGCATACTTCCATAGTATACTGTTCATGATACCACTCTACATCGTGCCGTATTGGTCTGCTTGTCTCTTAGCCGCTTGTTCTGGCTTTTGGTTCGAGACCAGTACGACATACCTTGCAAGACAGGATCGCGCAGGTTGCCTATTCGAGCCAAGACAAGTCTTTCCGGTGTGGCGTCCACGTTGATTTTAATTCGAGTGTGCTGCTTCTGATCAAACGGCTGACTTTGGACGGTAAGCAACACCTGCTGCTTCTGCTTCTGCTTCTGCTCTTAATATCGTAGTTGATGCAAAAATGTGTAAATAAATGATGCATCTAGATTATGTAGTAAACCCAACGCCTCGTCAATGACATCAATTCATCTTCGTCATCTTATGCTGCATCGTATGCCCATCCTTTCTCGTAGAAACAACGACGTACAACACACCCTTACAGGCCCCGCAAGAACTCGTCGACCGAGATGGGCTTGCGCACAGCATTGTTCAGCCCTTCGTGGAACGTCACCCACACCCGCTGGCCCTTGTCGCCGGTGCCTTCGTCGTCCGCGGCGCCGTTCTTGGACCGGCCCGCGCGCGCGTTGCCGTCCACTTCCTGCAGCGCGTTGGTGGCTGCCGTCGGCACCTCGGCCACGATTCTGCCGAAAAAGTCGCGCTTGACAGACGCCTCCTCCAGGTCCGCTGCCGCCGACTTGCGCTTGACGCCGCTGCGCTTGCTGCCCTTGTTGCCCTTGTTCTCCTTGTCGTCGTCGTCGTCGTGACTGGGTGTGCCCAGAGCCGTGCCGGCCTGGAAGCGTGCCTGGCGCGCCGCATTGTCTCGTGCCGCCAGCGTCTTGCGCAGCTCCTGGTCGAGCACCTGCCGCACCGCATACCGCGTGGGCGCCGCGCTGCTGCCGGACAGCAGCAGCCCGCCGGCCGTTTCAAACGACGCCAGCATGTCCAGGTCGGGCTCCATGCGGTAGACCCACTGCGGCCGGCCAACACCAACGGGGGCGCTGGAGGACGGCCCGCCCGCATCCTCGAGCATGCCGCGCTGCAGCTTGATGCCCAGTTCGGCGAGCACCTCGGCCGCACGCCGCACAAGCATCTTTTCGCCCTCGCGGCGAACACTGGCCACCGCCGTGGGGCCACTGCTCTTGCCGTTGGCGCCCGTATGGCTGGCTGCGGCCACGTTGACCAGCACCGGCTTCACGTCGGGCGACACCAGCCGCAGCACGTAGGGCAGGAAGTCGGCGGCCAGGTCCTCGGCGTTGCGGAACGCGCGCATCAGCGAGGGCGGCAGCTGCGCTTGGATGGCCTGCAGTGCTGCGCGGCTGTGCTTCTCGGCCTCGCGCGCCAGAAAATCAGCGCGGGGGCCGGAAAAGGGCAGCGCGGGGCGGCCGTCCTCTCCCGCCCGCGCGACGTCGGGCACGTATTTCCGCGACGTCGCAAACAGCTGGTGGCACGCCAGCACGGGCTGGCTCGTGTACGGCGCCAGCTCCCACTCCTGGCTGCCAAACACGCGGCGCGCGCACGCGTCGTGGAAGTGCATCCATTCGTACGCTGCGTCCGGTTTGCTGAGGAAGCTGTCGTCGTTGAACTCGCGGTGCGGGTATTCGCCAAAGATGTCCGTCATGATGCGGTCGACGTCGCCGCTGGTCTCAATCATCTCCCGCAGCCGGCCCATGGCGTACCGCTGCTGCGCCTCCGCGAAGCTCATCTGCCCCTTGGGCTGCTCGTGCCGGTACGATGTCTGGGCGGACGTCGCTGTGGCCGACGCTGTCGATGTCGACGCTGTTGTCACTTGCCCTGCCGTGCTGGCCGCTGTCTTGGGGAAGCCGGCACCCTCCTGGAAGACGCGCGTCACAATCTCGCGCACACCACCGCGACCAAGGCCGCGGGCCCCGATGCCGCCGCCTTCGCCGCCACCGCTCGCGAGATCGGGGAGCACGTGCTTGTCGACCCACGTGCGCGTCAAGTGCGGCGTCGCCGATGCAAACGTGTCCACGGATGCCGTCGCCCGCAGTCGCCGCGCCACCCACTCGCCCACCACCATCACCCCCCGCAGGTCGCCTTCCGCTGTGCTCTCGGTCCCCCGCCTGCCTGCTTCGCTGCCCGTCGCCATCCCCCACGCCGCCTCGCACAGCTTGCGCGCTGCCTCCTTCTCACACGGGATCCCTTCCTTTTCAAAAATCGTCTTCAGCCGCGTCACCACCGTCTCGACTGTCGGCTTGCCCACGTGCACAATCTCGGCAAGCCCCGACAGTCGCAGGGGCCGCAGCGCCGGGTGGTAGATGTCGTTGCAGATGAGGACGAGCGGGCGCATCTGTCGAAAGTCGTCGCCGCGTCTGCTTCTGCGGCTTCGCGAGGACGCCGTCGTCTGAGCAGCGGACGTCGCGCCGCCCGCGTTCTTCTGGTCCAGCAGCACCAGGTCGATTAGCGCCTTGACGAAGCCGCCCTCGCCGCCGCTGCCGCTGCCGCCCACCACGCCGTCCACCTCGTCGACAATCACGCACACGGGGCGCGCCACGCTGGTTTTCTTGGTGTCTGCGGCTGCCGCGCCTAGCGTTGTTGTCTGCTCCACCGCCTTGACGCTCTCCGTGCCCAGGCTCGTGCGGATCCGCCCGTTGACCACGTCCCTGCTGCGGTCGTCGCTGGCGTTGATCTCCAGCACCTCGTATCCCGCCTGCCGCGCACACACGTGGGCGAGCGTCGTCTTGCCGAGGCCGGGCGGGCCCGTCAGGATGAGAATCTTGCGGTGCGGTTTTTCGGATTCCTCGTTGCCGTTGCCGTTGCCGTCCACGTGCGGTGTCTTGACAAGGGGAACACGCTTTCGCGCACCGGGGAACACCAGCGGATCCCACCGCTTGAGCCACCGCAGCACCAGCCGGTTCGTCAGGTCGTCGCCCACCAGGTCCATGAAGCTGCGCGCCCGGTACTTTTCTGTCCACAGCATTGCGCGTTTTGGCCGGCGGCCAGATGCGGTTCCTTTGCCTTTTGTGGGTTGGGGAGCGGCTTGGACGGCCTCGCCTGCCGCGTCTGCTGCTGCTGTTGCTGCTGCCGCTGCTGCCGCTGCTGCCGCTGCCGACTTCTTTTTCTCCGCCTCCTTCTGCACCGCCATCTCGTGTCTCGCTCCGTCCACGAGTTCGTGGATCGCAATGCCATAAAAATTGCGCTGCGCCCGGCCCTCCTTGGTCTTGGACCGCTGCGCCACCATCGCCTCGTACGGGACGGGCGCCCGGGGCGTACTGCGCTGCCGCACAGGGATGGCCCGGCCGGAGCAAGTCTGTACAAAGATGGTACTCATTGTCGTGGGTTGTGTGGTTGTTGGCAAAGTGTCGTCGGCGGCCGGGGCGGCACGAAACAATAGGTCGTAGCGGTCCTCCTCTTCGTTCTCTACCGGTACCGGTGAGTGGCGGTCTTGGTCTTCCAGGCCCCGGCTGTCCTTTGGTGGCGCCGTCTGGGCCAGGAGATCGTCGAGTTCGGCTTGAGACGGGATCTGTGCATCGTGCATATGTGTATCGCCCCCCTGGCTGGCATTTGCACGAGGCGCTGTAGACGTAGGCTCGCTGTGCTGTGTTTGCTGTATCTGATTTGCTTGTGGCTGTGATGGCTCCAGTATTGAAGAAGTGACGATTGCAGTAGTGTCTGGAGAGATATCGTCATCCTCTTCGTCGTCCGAATCGACGAATCCTCCGCGCGCAACTCTTTTCACTGGCCGAGGGGCAGAAGCAGAATCGGCCGACTCGACGGACGCCAATGGCGCCGCAACTGGCTGGCTGGCGATGCCGACGTCCATTGTGTTGGGGACGAAATCAAGGATCGGCAGGTCAGTCGCGGAACGGACAAAAGTGGTGATGTGTCTTACGGCGATTGCCCTTTAATTTGGTGTTTTGATGTCGACGTTCTTGCCTTGTTCTGTGTACTTTGGATCCAGTACAAACGTCCGTTGTTTGCGGCAGGCGCAATGGGCATGCCTGGACGCGTTAAGCTGAATTGGCCGCCGCGACGCGTCCCACTTACACGCGTCTATTTGGAGACTCACACATGTGATATGTCACGTGCGCATATACTGGCCTGATGCATGACATCGGGCTTCCATTTTGCAACTCCATTGGTTTCGATCGATTCATCCCAAATGTAATGCTTTGTTCAAATTTTGTCTCTTTACATACATCGTAGCATAACTCGTTATTAAGTGGATGAAATGTACTACGATATTGGCAGCTAAGAATAGCATCCGCACATCGTCGAAATATCATAAGTCGACGTAAATTCGTTTCAACCAGAAGACGGCCGTCTTCTCAAATCACTTCCAAAGTACGCCGTATAACCGACAAACATGGATAGTCAAACTGGATCCCACATAATGACACCGACAACAGCCCCAGGTCACTGCCTACGTGACCTCCCCCATGATGTATCCTGCGACGTTGCTGTTGCGGCCCTGCGGTCCGGCCGGTAGCTGCTTGATCGCACTGGCCAATTTACGGCCCTCCGTCAGCCGCTGCATCTCACGCCTGTTCTGCGCGTGGTCGTATTCGTCAATGTGCCGCCGCTGGGCCACTTGAATGGAGCTGACCTGCTGCGCGGCGTTCACCTGGTCCTCCGACCGCTGCTGCTCGTAGGTCAGCAGCATCCGCTGCTTGCGGTCCTCCAGCTCGAGCATCCGCTCGCCTTGCTGCCGCTTGAAGTTGAGCTCGGCCGCGTGCTCGGATTCACGCTGCCGCGCCCTGGCCTGCATCGCTTCCATGTCGGCTGCGGCTCTGCGCCGCGAAGCCATGAGTTCCGCGTGCGCGCGCTGATTCGTCGCCTCGATCTCGGCGGCCGCACGCTGCTGGACGACGAGGACGTCCCCCGCGGCGCGTATGCGTTCGGCCTCCACCTGCGCTTCGGCGGCTGCAATGGCCTTTTGTCGCACCGTCTGCTGCTCCATCTCGGCGCGCTCCTTCATGGCCCGCATCTCCTCGCGCTGTGTCCGTTCCGTCAGCTCCGCCAGCTCCTCGGCGTGCCGCCGCGCCAGCGCCCGGTCGCGTTCCTCGGCCTGGGCGCGCTCGAGCCGGGCCTGGCGGTCGCGTTCAATCTCCATCAGCTCGTCAGGCACGCTCACGGCACCGGGAGGCTGTGGGCCCGACCGCGCATAGTACAGGTCTTCGGCACGGTTGCTCTTCAAGACGCGCACGAGTTGGTCTCGTACAGCCGCCGGCAGCTGCAACACCAGCTGGGCGTACATGGTGGGCGAATATACGAGGTTGCCCTGCTGAAACCGGTTGAATGGGCTGTTGACATACTTGTACAGCCCGGCCTTTAGGAGAGCCCTGGTCGTCGCCACGGGGTCGTTTGCCTCCAGGGCCAAGAGAAGCGGCGTCTTGCCTTCGGAGCGCAGCTGAATGTCGCTACCGTGGTCCAGGAGGAATGTCATGCATTGTTCGAGTGCTTTGAGCCGCGAGCCCGCCAACGCGGCCCCGTCGGAACCGTGCTGGCAGATTTCAGCTAGGGCGCTGCGACCATCGTACTCCGGACAGGGAAAGTCGACATCGTGCTTGTTCTTCACGAGAATCTTGAGCGCTGCAAGGTTTAGCGTCTTGGCAGCAAGATGCAATGAGCCGTCGTTCCTGGCGGGCTCCAATTCCAAGATATCGGTCATCATCTCCACGGCCCTCGTGCCGCCGGCCTGGACGGCCATAATAAGTGGCGTGTGATTGTTGTAGTCGGCCACATCGACGTCGGCACCCGCGCGGATGAGCGACTTCACGAGATCAGCTCGTTGACTCTGAATGGCGAGCATGATGGGCGAGGTCATCGACAGGCTTGAAACGAAGTTGATGTTGCTGCCACGTTCAATAAGAAGCTCGATTACTGCGCTGCTGATTTTCTTTTGTGGTTGGAGGAGCGCCCAGAAGAGTAGAGTAACAGGCTCGTCGCTGTCCACATCTGGCGTGGTGTGAGCCGCCACCAATTGGTCGTGGTAGTAGCCTGCATCCAAAAGAGCCTCGAGGATGCGAACGGACCGGGGGTACTGGGACAGGGCCAGCGACAAGACGGGCGCACGGTCAGGGTGCTCGAACAAGACATCTAGGCCATTCTCAGCACCCTGAATTCTTTCCTCGCGGAAGAGCTCAATGAGGCGCACTATGTCGTCCTCTGAAACACCGGATTCGAAAATGTACGAAAAGGCCATCGCCTTCGACTCGGCGCTTGGGTTGAGCTTAAGAAGCTGCTGGACAAGGGCGGCATCGCCCAATTTGGCTGCCGCTTGGAGAGGCTCGCCTTTGTTGATGTTCACATTGGCGCCGTTCTCGACAAGAAGCTGAACAAACTGCCTTGCAATGGCGCTGTTATCAGATTCGCCGGCGCACTCGCTCACACAGAGCGCAAGCACGTGGCCGAGGTCGCTGCTCTTAGCACCTTTCTCAAAGAGCAGTCGGGCCGTGTCAAGTCCCTCTTGAGTCATCCACACGTTTGCCCTTGACGGATCCAAAGCGCCGGCCAATGCAGAACCGAGGTGGGATGCTGATACCGTCGACAATGTTGTGCATAGCTCGAGAATTTCCATTCTGGACCGGCAGGCAGCATTGACCAGGGCCTGGCAGCCATCGGCGACTGGCGAGGCACCGTGCTCGAGGAGAAGCCGGATGAGTCCTACGTTTGGTTTCTCTTCTTTGACGGCTTTGTTGAGCGCAATGTGAACGGCCTCGGTCGGCTGCAGGCCGGCCGCAAAGAGCCACTGGATGATTTGATAGCGCAGCTCACTCTTCAGCATCCAGCTGATTTTGAGAGAGCGGGCCAGGGTGTCCTGGGATGGGCCTCCTACAGCTGGATGATTCTTCTTCGTTATCGCGCCTGTGTCGTCCACAATGTCCAGCAGCAGCTTGAGCGTCGCCATGAAGCCATGTCGCGTACTTGTCCGGATGGCTTCTCCGTCATTGTAGTTGGTGTCGGCACCATTCTGGAGCAGGAGCCGGACAAGACCAACGCCGTCGTCTCCGTAACCAGCTGACGTGGCGAGTTCTTTATCAACGACCATTCCTGAGACGCCATGACTCAAAAGAAGGGAGAATGTGGCCTCGCGCGCATTGAGGTCGTCGACTGCGCCGGCCTCTTGAAACCCGCGGGAGAGGGTCTCTGGCGTAATTTCCGACCGGCTTTTCAGGAGTGTTTGTAGGACATCCGACGCCCCAGACCTGCATGCCGCAATAAACGCTTGGCTGTCATTGTGGTCCGCCCTGGCGTCGTTCGATACGAGCAAGTCGCAGAGGTCGAGGTCAGCGTCTGAGGCGGCCACCACTAGGGCGTCCGACACGCCAGATCCAGTTGCGCCGGCCTCCAGAATCTGTTTGCTCATCGCCAACCGCGTCGGCGTCTTTGGTGTTGTCATCACTTCGTACAAAGCCGAATTGAGAACCTCAACGTCAAACGCTTTTGCCGACAAAAGTACAGCCACCAGGTCGGGTGTCTTGGATCGGACTGCAGAGAGGAGGGCAGCGCCTTGGTTGCCGTCCGCGGCGGACGCCAAGGTCCTGATGAGGGGATGATCTTCCGGAAAGTGGACGACCGCGTGATTCAGCGTCACATTGATCTCGGATGCAGGAACACCAGCTTGCAGCAGCATTTTCGCTACGGCTAACCGGTCCATGGCGTCTGTGATGTTAAAGATGCGGGGGATGGTCTTGATGAGCGAGGCCTGGCTTGGTTGGCGGCTGAGTAGCATTTCGACAATCTGCACAACGGGCGCAGCCACAGCATGGCCAAGTGCGTCGGCGTTGTGTGCGTTGACGTCGGCACCGGCAGCCAAGAGCACCTGAACAACAGAAATTATGCGCTCTTGAGGCGGGGCCTTGACAGAAATCACCACTTCAGAGACGAGCAGGGCGTCGAGCTGCTGTTTCATATCGCTGTCCGCGAAACGGAGAAGAGTTTCCAGTTTAATCGCTTTGGCGGCTGTTGATGGATGGCTGGAGAGGCAGTTGAGTCCGTGCGAGAGCGTATCTCTGTTGGCTGTCTTTGTGGCCAGGAGCCGTTGCAGAATGTCATTTTTGGGCGAGGAGGCAGCCAAAGCAACAGCCTGACCCCCGTTGTAGTTGATGTCGGCTTCGCCTTGTACCAAGAGCATCTCGACAAGCTCCATGTCTAGTGCCGGCTGGCTTATGGTATGAATCAGGAGTTCAGATACAGCAGCACGCTCATCGCCGACGCCAGCACCGAGGAGCAGCTGGACGACCTGCCGCCGCGTGTGAACGTCGACGAGGGTCTCTGTCTGGGACAAAGCAGCAGCCAGAGCTTGTTTGGTCGGAGTGCCCTTGTGCAGCAGGTCCTGCATCAAGTCGACATCGCCATTTGCCACAGCAGAGATGAGCGAGGAGTTAATGTCAGCATTGGCTCTGAGCAGCGCCGAGATGAGGCGCTGGTCGCGGGCCTGTGGTGGCTCTTGGATCGCCTTTTGGAGGGTGTCCGTGATGACCGGTCCCGAGAAGCCGGTTCTCAAAAACATGTCGGTCATTTCATATCGTTGGTCGGCAGGGAGGTGAAAGATGTCGGGAAAGGCCTTGGCCAAGGTATTCGGCGAGGGCCGCTGAGGGCGTGAGTACAGCATGGCGGCGACCATGTCAAAGTTGACTGCCTGAACGGCCATCCGCAAGGCCGCACCTTCTTTGTGGTCGACCGAGGCCGTGTGGTGTTGCTGGTGGATGGCGGGCTGTCTGTGCGCCATTCTTGTGTCATCTGGCGGGCCAACGTCGATATGTTCCGGGTAAAATGGTGTAAGCAAGAGTCTGACCGAGTTTACATCGCCTGCTGCGGTTACTTCGATGAGGTAGTCATTGAGACGGGCACCGCCCGCCCCTTTGCGGAGGAGGAGGAGAAGCAGCTCGAAACGCTCTTCGTTGCTGACGTTCTTGGGGAGATACGTGATGCACTTTGAGGCCAGCTGGGGGCTCACGGCGACAGCTTCGGAGAAGAGAATCTTGGCCAAATCCAGTTGTTTTTGTGCCAGGGAGCGACGTAGGACAGCGGCGTTGTTGTACTCGACGGACGCGCCGTAGTCTGCCAGGAGAGACGCCATGGCGGAGAAGTTGGTTATGCACGACTGTGCTAGATGGTGCGCGACGATGTCTCCGTGTGCGCCGGCGCAAAGCAGAATCTCTGCCAACGCCATCTTGTCGTTTGGCAGGACTGTGGGGTGCTCAAAAAGAAGCTTAAAAGCACCATTGACCGACGAGGTATGCGGTGGGTGCATGCCAGTGACAATGGCCAGCGCAATGTCGGGCCGGCACGACTTGACGGCTGCACAGAGGGCGGCGGCCTTGTCGTAGTTGCCATCGGCGGCCGAGCGGCTCAGACGCATGGCATTCTCGATGCACCCATGCGTGGCAGCATCGACCATGGCCAGTGATAGGTCGGAGGCATCTGGCCGGCCGTCTGATGCGAGCAGGAGGCCGACCAGGTCAGCATTGGCATCCGCGGAGCAGAGCTGGCGGAAGGCATCCAGGCCGGCGGTCGTATTGGCCACACCGGCACCATAGCGGAGCAGGTGTTTGACCATCTCGGGGTGGCCCGACCGGATGGCCGCGGGGAGAGCGGAGTCCAGGGTCATCGGGTCGGCATAGGGGACCAGAACGGCAACCAGATCCGGGTTGTTGAGCTCAATGGCACGCTGCAGCAAGCGGCTGCGCTCCAAGGACTCAATACTGCGGCGACGGGTGAGCTTGTTGACCTTGACCTTGGTGTCGACAACGTTGACGTTGCCGCCGACGGCCGTGAGCTTTACAACCAAGGACTCAGCAAGGGCAGCCGAGCCACCTTGGCCGACATGCTCTTCGAGGGCGGCAAAGATCTCGGCAGGCGTCCATTCTTTTCGTTTGGATGTTGTGAATGCTCGCATGAGCGTGGGTGGCCGCTGGCCTTCGGCGGCCACACGCCTCTGTCTGAGCAACTTCTCTGCGTCGTCGTCGTCAAAGGGCGTGCGAACGCTGTATGGCTGCAATGGTTTTCTGAGTGGAGCGATGGGAGGCGGCGAGTGGACGCCCAGATCGGCTCCGATGGCCCCCAATCGCTGCAGCCGGGCAATGGCGCTGATGCTGGACGCATCCATCTCAACGGCGGCCGGGACGGCCATTTTTGTAACCCCACAAGCTGGGACGCAGCCTTGGCTCGATCAAAAGGAAGTCCACGTCTGCGAATTATTGTATGTCCAGTATGTCCATGAATTGGAGCTGCCCAGTGCGCAACGAGGCGTTATGAGGACATTGGGTATGTTGAGAACGAGACCGATGCGTGCACGTGTCTAAAAAACACGCGCCGTGAAGGCAGTTGAGCCAAATAAAAGGAGCTGGAGACGACGGAAACAGAAATGCAGAGATACGGGCCACAAAAGAATATGGAATACTCAAAGGGCCCTCCAAAGTACTAAAGAAGACTTGGATACTTGGTTATTCGGGACAAAAGACGCCAAGCAGTGCCCAAAAAAGGCTGGCTGTACGACCAAGGTGGGGGGACCGGGCAGGTTTGCGTATGCGAGTGCGGCTACGCTGCTCGAGTAAGGACAAAATCGAGGGCAGACAGAGCCGGCACGATCAGAAACATGTGGCTTGCTGCAGATCGTCGGGAATGTGCCGAGAGTGTTGAGAAAGTGACGCGACGAGTAGAAGAGAGGGGAGACGTGGTGTGCAATAGTGAGAGCTGTGAGGTGCAGGCCGTCGGCGAGGATGAGAGCGAGGTTGAGAAGGACAAAACAAGATGTAAGAAGGGGACGAAGAGGGGACAAATTGGAGACGAGCGAGGCTCAGCCTCGTGGTTGATATTGGGCGACTTAGTAGCGCGGGCGTCTGATAGGCGACAGATGCCAGCCGAGGAGAAAGCGTGCGGGAGCGGTTATGCACAACGGGCGGTTAGTGCAGGAGAGATGATTGTTATATGTTGTTGAGTTGTAGGTTGCAAAAGAAGATATTAATAGAGCTCGAAGAAGGCCGAGAAGACGGAGATCGGACGAGACGTGGAAAGAGGAGTTGGGGTTTCAGAGGGGAAAAGAGGAAGGAGCCGCAGGAGCTGTCATTCCAATCCGAAGGAAGAAGTTGCGACTAGGTAGGAAGAGAAAGTCAAGTAGTAAATCAGAAAGAGCGACTGAATAAGGTGTAAATGCATAATGGAACGCACAAAGGGAAAGAGCGAGGCGCAGGAAAGAGGCGACGCCAAGTAATTACGGCGTTCGAGTTAAGAAGCGCCTTGATAAAAAATCGCGGCCTAGGCTCGTCTTGGGTTTGGGAGGACGCCCACAATAGTGCCAATAATACGAGGTTTCTGGGATGCTGGCACAAGACCCGGCCTTGAACTAGAAGTACATCAAACCAGCCGGAGTCACGTCACGGGAACTTGCGCGGACGGTGTCCTCTCCTTTGCCTCCCTCTCCCTTTTGCCAGGCACTCAGGCACGACCAATGTAACGGTGGATGGATGGTTTAGCGCACGAATTATCAAGTTCTACGTCTTCCAAGGAGTGAACTGTCGGGTAGCGGCTTCACAGTGAGGAATGTCGGTTGGGTGGCGTTTCTGGAACAGCAAAATGCACCAAACATACCAAACATACCAAACACACCAACTGCACCGCCTCGCCTGCTCTGGGCGTAGCATTAGGCTATGTTACGCCACAGACGCATTCAAGGCAGCAAGGTAACGACTCTGTGAGCGAACGAGCGTAATTGATTATGAAAAGGCAGCTTGATACATGGCACGGTTCCAAGATGCCGTGTAATCGCCAATGCTAGCTTCTTTGTCCCAAAGTGGGATGAAGGTCCAAGAGGCAGTGGAGCTCGAACATGGCACTAGTGTTATTCAATGCAAGGCAAGTGCACCCGCTTCGAATGTGCCCAAAGAGCTCTCCGTCTCGCGACTCCATAAGCTTGAAGAATACAGCATGTAAATTATCTTCTTTTACCGTGATATGATGCTCCGTACTCTTAATACAACTGCAGAATGCAGGGGCCATCCTTCTTCCCCAACATGCCCCTTGTCAACCACTGACGCAAGTCAGATTCCAGGCATCAGCATTTCTTGTTCCCCTTCCTTCGGCTTCCTAACCGCGTGGGTTCTCCGGGATGTTCCACCGTCTTTCCAAAAATAAACCAGACATCGCATGTTCTAACTGAAAAAGAGCACCATGCAGGTCCAAGGCAGCGTGGTATTGTTATAAATCGTACGTCCTGATCTGCGCGGCACGGTGTTGATACCGACTCCTTCGCCAGTGACACGATTATATGTGATGTATCACGTGACACGTCGCCAACTTTAGAGGCACGTTCCTGTGGAATTTGGCTTTTCACTGAAAATACGTCACTTTTGGCGCGCCTATTGCATGCTGCACTATCGGCGGAAAACACGAAAAAGAAAAAAAAATTGTCATGAACAAATTCAATCTATGGATATATAGCAGGTATATAACAGAGACAAGTAAGTCTTTTTCTGTTTCATTTTTTTGTTGGTTCGTGCCTGTGTTTATTTTGCATGTATTTGTCTTTTCCCCTCCATATCCTTCTATGCGGAAGCAGCGTCGGTGACAAGCTTCTGAAGGGCCGGCGGGTTGGCACCGACGATCTCGCCCGTCTTCTTGTCGTCGACAAAGGCCAGGAAGGTGGGCATGGCGCGGATACCCTGCTCCTGGGCGACCTGGGGAACGGCGTCAACGTCGATTTTGGCAAAGTAGATGTGGGCGAACTTGGGATCTTCGGAGAGCCTAAAGGTTTGTCAGTATGCAATCAAACCAGAGCAATGCACTGCAGAGAGAGAGGAGAGAGAGGGAAGACTCGCTTCTCAAAGATGGGCGAGATGATCTTGCAAGGGCCGCACCAAACGGCGTGGAAGTCAACAAGAACGACTTTGTTCACCTTGCGGATGCTGGCAAACTCCTCGTAGGTCTTGATCTCGTGGACGGTCATGTTGGGCGAAGAGGCGTGGAAGGCGCGGGACGCGGTAGATGTGGTAATAGGCGTGGTAGCGAAGCGGGATGCGATCGTAGGACGAGCAGTAGTAGAAAGTCGGTTGAAGAGCGTGCGTGATGCAGACATGTTGGGAAAAAAGAAGAGGAAAAAAAGAAGAGTGGTTTTGTCAAACAATGGGGCAGGAGGTCGACGCTATATACGATAACTGCGTCGCATACTTCGTACACGTTTCTCGATTACTGGGCAGAGGCGAGGGGCCGTGGAAGGTACGGGTGAGGGGTCGATTGGCTCAGGGCAGGAACCGTGTGCCAACGAGCCAGCTTAGAAAAGATTAGATGGCATGCAATGACAATGGATGGAGCTGGAAGGTGGCAGGAGCGACCGCGTTTCGATTAGCAAGCACGAACGGCAGTGGACGGCTGGCAGAATGGAGTGCAAGAAAATCCCGAGCTGGGAGCTGTGCACCATTTGGAATGCGCGCCATTCTGCCATTCAGCCGCAAAAGGCGGGGACGCCGACCTAGCGAAACGAGGCGTGCATATGTCTGCATGCTCCGTAATCCATTGTCAGTCAACGCCTGGCGCGACGCAGTTACAGAAGGCTGAGTCCGACAGAGTGCTGTGCCAGCTTTTCTTCCAGGAAGGTACCAGAACGGCGGGGAATTTTCGTGCCGGGTTTTGGGTGTTGGTTTTGGGTGGGCTAGTCCCAATACGGCAATCGCCAGAGACCGCTGTTTCCAAATCACAGCGCCCATTTTCGGGCATCGTTAGGTAAGCTGGGCCTCTGTAAATTTAGTGAGCAACGGCCCGCTGCCCTTGACAAATAGCCCAGACTGCCAAAAACAGTAGCAACTACCTACGATTTCCTTTCTGGGACATACGATGATCTTGATGATATTGTAATCTGTGTTTTGCCGTGATGCAACTTGTGGCTTTGAGCAGCTGGCTTGTCTTGCCAAGCGAAAATAGGGACAACTCAAGCTCCTCTGAGAATTCCGTCGGCTGCATTCGTGGACAGTCACGTAATTACAGCACAACAAAGTAGTTGTTCGTGTGATCTGATTCAGTGTTGCAGAAAACCAGGACAAACAAGGACCTTTGTATATCGTGCAGAAGATGTAAGGCTGTCAGAAGATCCGTGGCCGTATTCCACTTTGAATTAGCGACCGTTCTTCACGCTAAGAGCGGGAGTGGTGATGCGGCGCCGTCTTGGATCTACATCCAGCCTTATGTATACACGTACAGCGAAATATAGTGCACGGTGTACAAAACAGAAGTCTTGGGAGGAATTCAGGCCGTTCGCGAAGAGTAGACTGCTCTCGATACGTTGGTGAAACTCCATGGCCGAACGAGCGCGGCTTCACCATGTCAGTTGTTGGGTTTCCCGTTCCGGGAATGTATTCGCCATGTATCTCCGAAGAGGGGTTCACGGTGATTGCGAACGTAGCTTCGAGGAGGGACGTGATTTTCGTGTGCTCTGACACCTTTTAGTAGTGTTGGTGTGTTTGATAGCGCAGGCCAGGATGTTGATTGGGCAGAAGTGGTGATATGGCGGATGTCGCTACCGCAACCCCGGTTTGCGACATCAGTCTCCGGTATTTTGGGTCCATGCAACCACGAGCCATGCCGGGACCCGCGTGGCACTCATCGCGAGAGCGGCCGCATTGCTTTCGTGGGGAAATATAAATACAAAATGGAAACTCTCCTTGATTTTGAGTATGGTGTACGGCGTGCTGTCGCAGCCTCCATGATATTGCCTATATAGACAGCCATACCATATAATGGCCGCCATCACACCTTCGGACAACGTCGTCGCGGCTGACGCCGCGGCTCACGCCCCCGCCGCCGCCGCACCTGCTAAACGCTCGTTCCGGTCCTTCATCTGGGACACCGACACACACCTCAAGACCCCCGAAGAGCGCCGCCTGCTGCGGAAGCTCGACTCGGCCATTCTGACCGTCGGCTGCCTCGGCTTCTTCATGAAGTACCTCGACCAGGGCAACCTCGCTAATGCCTACGTCTCGGGTCTCCAGGAGGACCTGCACATGTACGGCAACCAGTACACGTACGCCACGTCCGTCTACACGGTCGCCTATGCCGTAATGCAGATCCCCAGCACGCTCATCATCCAGCGCGTGCCGCCGCGGCTCTGGCTGACGGCCATGGAGGTCGGCTGGGGCATCTGGACGTTTGCGCAGGCCGGGATGCACACGACGGGGCAGCTGTATGCCTTCCGGTTCCTGGTCGGCCTGTTTGAGAGCTCGTTTTTTCCAGCCATGCTGTACCTGCTCGGCACCTGGTACACCAAGACCGAGACGGCTAAGCGCATTGCGCTGTTCCACATGACGGCGCCGCTGGGCACGGCGTTTGGCGGCTACATGCAGGCGGCCGTGTACAACAACCTGGACGGCGTGCACGGGCTGGCCGGCTGGCGCTGGCTGTACATTGTGTGCGGCAGCATGACGGTGCCCGTGGGCATTGCCACCTTTTTCTTGCTGCCGGACACGCCGTTCCGCACGCGGGCGTGGTACTTGACGCCGGCGGAACGCGAACTGGCCATTGCGCGGGTCAACCGGGAGGGCAAAGCGGCGCCAGCCAAGATCAACCTGGCCATGTTCAAGCGGGTCTTGTCGTCGTGGAAGTGGTATCTCTTTACGCTGGGCTATGTGGTGAGTTGCCGGGCGTGTGTGTGTGTGTGAGAGAGAGAGAGAGTGTGTGTGTGTGTATGTGTAATCTAACTCGTATAGCTCTATGGCGAATCGTGTGGCGGCAACGGCTACTTTGGTATCTGGCTCAAGGCCGAGGGCTTCTCCGTCGCCAAGCGCAACCTCATCCCGACGGGCACGGCCTTGATTTCTGGTTCCTGTGTCGTCCTCTGGGGCTTTCTGTCCGATTACACAGGCAGTCGCTTCGCCTTTGTGCTCATCCCGCTCATCTTGACTCTCCTGCCCAATGGCATCCTCGCCTTTTGGTCCTCCAACATTCATTTTCTCGAGTTTGCCTTTTTGACCGTCAACATCCACTTGATGACGGCTGTATAGTGAGCCTCCTATCCCCTTGCGCTCTTTTCTCGGCTGATTCTCTGCTCTCTTTACTCACCACTCCAGTTACACGTGGGCCAACGAGGTCTGCGCCGCCGACAACGAGCAACGCGCCGTCGTCATCAGCAGCATGAACGGCTTCCAGTACGCCGTCGCCGCCTGGCTGCCCATCGTCATCTTCCCGCAAACCACCGCCCCGACCTTCCGCCGCGGCTTTCCCACGACCTTTGGTCTCGTGATTGCGTCCATCTTTGCTGTCCTTGCCATCCAGTACATGATTGTGCGTGACCGGAAACGTGCGGCGGCCGAGGCAGAACGGCGGCCGTCGACCGACTCGGAAGACGGCGAGCTGTCTCGCGAGCAAGCGATTGTCCCCGGTAAGGACGAAAAAGTGCAAGTATAGTGTTGGTCATCAGGGTGCAGAAAGTAGTGTGGCTGAGGGGTGGTTCGTATATAAACAAGTTGTCCAAATCTATGGTTCTCCAGAATGTACATTGGAATGATTAACGCAATCTACGACGTATTCAAATATTTTAATCATCTTTTGATCCGATTTGTCCACGTGCCAATATACGATAAAAAGGAAACAAAGGTGTATGTTTATTAACTTAATGTGCTTTTCGACCTAAAGGTGCAGTCTATAGTTTGGGCCGGTATTTCAGACTGGCCAGGCCGTGTTGTGTGTCGAATATTTGTGATCTTGAGCTGCACTGCAAGACGCGCCTAGCTATATCTTAGAGACACACGAATTTGGATCATTTTATTTCGGTACAACTCCGGTGGACGTAGCACATAAAACACTCATTGTCCCTGTGTATTTCCACGTACGGCCATAGATAAAGGAGAATACGGGATCCCGTCCGCTCTCCCCTAGTCAAACCTTTAATCGGCGGATTAGTAGTTGGGTCGGTGACGACCAGCGAATACCCGCTGCTGTACGTTTTTTTGTTTCTTTCTTTCTTTCTTTTTTGTGTTTTAAAACAAAATGTTTCTGTTCGTACCAACTTCATTTATCGCCTTACTGTATGTACAATGTCCAGCCTCTGCACCAACGTCCCACATGTCTACAGCTTCGCCTTGATGGCTGCGTCCTGCGCAATCAGCCGACGCCAGTACTTGTCCTTCAGCCCCAGAATAGCCAGCCCCTGCGCTGCCCACTTGTCGTCCCAGCGCGGCAGTGCATATCCGTCGGTGCCCGGTGCCGGCCGCCCGGCAAAGTCGACAAGCCAGTTAAAGTACGCCTCAAAGTCCGGGGCGATGGCGTGGAAGGCGTTGGTGGGTCCGAGCCTGGCGACGCGGTCGGTTTCCCAGGCGCGTTGGTCCTCGGCCGTAGGCAGTGGGATGCCGTTCCGGCCGGCGTAGTAGCGGGCGACGGCGACGGCCTGGTACTCGTAGACCCGGAACGAGAGGCCCGCCTTGACCTGGCCAATGAGGGTGAGGGACGGGTCGTCAATCGAAAAGACGTGCTGGTAGAAGCCGGCGACACGGTTCTCGGGCGTGGTCGGGTTGGGATGCAAAAAGGGGTACTGCAGACGGTAGCCCGTGGCAAAGAGAACGTAGTCAATGCCGTCGATGCGATGGTCGTCGCTGAACACCACGTTCACCTTCCCGTCGGCCGAAGCCTCAACGGCCTTGACGGTCGTGTGGAGGCGCACATTGGGCAGGCGGTACACGGCGTCGAGCACAGGGTTCTTGTTGCGCACGGCCACCTCGAGCTTGCCGCTCACAATGCCGTGCAGGTCCTGGATAAAGTCGGACGCCGACACGTTGCCGCCCACAACCAGGACCCGCTTGTCGGCGTACTTGGCCGCCTTGCGGTACGACTTGCTGTGCTCGAAGCGGCCGGGCAGTTGCTTGGACACCTCGATCAGGTTGTCAATGGCCGGCACAAAGGGTACATGGTAGTGGCCCGACGCCACCACCACCGCATCAAAGGTCTCTGTCCACCAGTAGTCGTGCGGCTTGCCTCGGTACAGAACGCCCGACCGCCGCAGCGTCAGCACCCACTCCTTGCCGCGCTTGTCGACCTTTTCGACCGTCGTCCGCAGCGTTACCAGCGACAGGTACGGCTTGAACAGGTCCTCGATCCAGTTGGTGATCACGCCGTACGGCCGCGATGGGTTGTTGTGTCCGAACCGCTCAATCGACACGGGCGAGTTCACCACAGGGAACGGCGAGTGCGTAAAGGCCATCGACTCGGCACCCACGTTGCTGTCGAGGTCCCAGTACAGTGCCGAGCGGGCGTAGTGGTCTGGCGCGCTGGCGGGCGTAAACGCGGGCAACTCGGATGTGGATACAGGTGGCTTGCGCGTCTGGTCCGAGGGCACGCCGGCCGTTGTGGGAAACGTGTCAGGCTCGGCATCGTAATGCCAGAGACCGCCAACCTGGTCGCGGCGGTCAAACACGCGAATCGTGTCAAACGACTTTTCTGACGCGAGTGCATGCGTGGCCGCAAGGCCAGACGGGCCGGCGCCGATCACGGCTACTCGGCGATAACGAGGGGCCATGGTGTTTTATGTGACAGATTGTATGATGATAAGTAGGCGGATAGAGACAAAACAATGTAGAGGTGCGAACGCAGCCACGACATCGTCAATGGTTGCGAGCGATATGGTTTCCTTTATAAGAGCTCAAACATGGCAGCGCTCGAGCTTGCGATCTCGGGGCGGACCACCACTGTGATACCTGTCCATCGGCACGCTCGTTTCGCTCGTTCACTGACCTCGCTCGTCATCCCACCTGGGCTCATGCACGCTTCTCGCATGTTTGCTTGTCCGACCCCCGCTCAAGGTTTGGCGAACTGCAATGCTGTTGACAAAAACCCGCCGAAAAGCGAATGGAAATGCTCCGAATACGTATCGGGGTCCATTATTTGCAAGCAGCGGCGAGCACGGCGACGACGCGGAGATGGCGCGATTCGAAGCCTCATCGTATTTCGTGGGCGGCCGGGCTGCAGTGAGCCACTCACAGGCGCCCGTCAGCAAAAACGCCATTCGGCGCCAGGCTGAGCAAAGCAGAGCAGAGCCAGCGAAAGCAAGAAAAAGCGTGGGAGCTGGAGATGATGCCTTTATCAGAAAGTGACCATGCCCTGTCCACGTTTGTCCGGGCCGGAGAGACAAGAAAGTGGATCGGCAGGGACGGCATTATTTGTGTGGCAGTGTGGTTGCGTTGATTAACATTGAGAGAATTGGTGATGCGATGGATGTAGGTCGGGTGTATGTCGTATATGTGGGGCAGATTAAACTGTACCTCAACGGTCCTCTCCGGACCGGACACCAATTCCGATGCTGTGTTGCCCATCCTGGATAGCCGTCGTGGGACACACGAACGAACACAGTGGAGACAAAAACCGTATATGCAGAGCGACGTCTGGGGAAATCATGCACGATATCACCAAAAAAAAGAGTAGTCAAATAATGTGTGTATCAAAATCATATCCGTACATATGTACGCAAAGGGTATCTAGCAAATAATATGACGCGGCAAAGGCAACAGAATAAGGCCGACCTGGGCCGCAAAGGAAGAAAGGCACCAAAATACAAACGAACCGCAGGGCACGAGCGCAGAAAGGGGGAAACTTCCCGTCTCTAGCACTGTAGAGCTGAACTACAAGTAGGGGGCAAACACCGGGGTTTGAGGTAGGAACGACACAAGAGGGGAGAAAGGATGAGCAGAGACAACGGGAGCAGCAAGTAGACGGCACGGCGGCGCGAGGCTGTTAGATTTTTGATACTTTTTTTTGGGTGTCCCTACGCCAGGGTTGGGGTTTTCCGTATGTTTTTTGTGCGCTTTGATTTTGTTGGTAGATTTTTTTTTCGTATTTCATATTCTTTTCCTTTTGTTTTTGCGTTTTGTTGGTTCTCTGGCGTGCGGATTTTGTTTTTCGTGTTTTCTTGTATTCGTTTTTTTGTTTCTTATTTTGGTAAGACGTGATAGGAAATGGTTTGAAATGAGCGAATGTAGTTGGTATCGAAGACGTCAAAGGAAATGCTGGAGAGCTGGTTGTCGATCCGGAGTATATCGAGACCGTATTATTTTATCATAGCCGTCGTGTCATGCTTGCTTGCTCTTGGAGCTCGTGTCTCTTGTTCGCCTCTCCCTCTCTCACGCACCTTACCCTCTCTTGCCGTAATTCCTCACCTTGGTTGTCAGACACTTTCGCGCAAAGGGGCCCAAAGCCTAGAACAATGGTTCACGCGACCAGCCGGCCTTGGCGTCGACCGAGTTCCGCGGCGACGGCGTGATCTCCAGCAGTTTGGCACTGCCGGCGCTGATATGGCGAGCATGGCCTCGTCCAAGATTTACGCTTGTAGCGCGCTGCAAGCCAGCCTCTTCCTCTTTAAACTCGCTGCTTGTTTGGCTGATCGGGCTTGCCATGCTCACAGGGCTGATGGGACTGTCAACGGGGCTCTCGGACCGGTCCATGCCCTTTTCGCCATCGGAGAACGAAGTCATCAGAACCTCGCGGCTCTGGATTAGATTGGCACGGTGTGACATCACAAAAGCAGCATCAACCCGCTTTTCGTTCACGGAACCCCAGCGCGGATCAACGCCGTCGCCATTGACGGTATCGAGCTCGTCGTCGCTAGACGGAAGCATATCGCCCGTCGACTCTCTCTGCATAATAGCCCGCGACCCACCACCGGTTGAGCTGTGAGCAAGACGGCTGAGATACTCGTCATCCAGCACGATGCTCGACTCGTCGTCGTCCATGTGCTGAGCAGAAGACACGGCCACGGTGCCGTGTGCAGAAGAGACCAATTCGGCTTCGGTCGGCGACACGGCAGGCTGCTGGCCATGTGTGCTCCCGTTTGAAGGCCACGACCGCTCGCGATGATGTTGGTGGGTTGCTGTCTTTTGGAACGAGCGCGAGACACTGTCCAGCGATGGCTGCATCTGTGACACCCGGCGGCGTGACGCCGTGCGGCCCGACAGCCAAGAGCCCTCGGAGTCGATTGACGCTAGGGATAGTGACTGCTGCGGCTCTGGCGACGGCTCGGTCTCCTCCATTTGGAGCCACGACGTCGGGGTGTCCCGCGTTCCGTTGGTCGTGCTGTTGTGGCCCATGCTCGTGCTGTCAAACGACGGCGGCTGTTGCGGGGCCTCATGAAAGCCGGTCGGCATCAGGATAATCGACTCGTCGTCTCCACTGTTGTTGACAAAGCTCGAATTTTGAGTGGGCGAGGAGCTGTAGACCGCTCCCTGTGTAACCATCTGCGCCTGAATAGGAGACACTGCTTCTTGCACCTCCGGCGACTGAATGCGCGAGGCTGGAGGAGACTTGAGAAAGTCAGGTAGGTCTTCACGGAAACGAGAGAGAGTGCGCTTCGGAACCAGGCCGGTCACCTTCATAGGGTGAGGTTTTGTAGGACGTGCAGCCTTTGCAGACGAGTTGACAGATGCAGTGGACGCAAAATGGCCCCCTGCCATCCCCGCTGCAGTTTCTGGCGCTGCAAAGCTAGAGGACTCCTCAACCAGAGTCTGAGAGGGATTCCGCAGGTGGCTGTGAGGGACAGCGTCAAAATTATGCAGAGATCTTTGGATCGAAGACTGGGCAGCCATCGAATCTCGAGATAAATTTGCAAACGACGATTGTCCTTGTGGGGTCCGCTTGGATCTCGACCTCCATCGGAAAAGAGCGCCGAGGGAGCCCCATGTTAGGGACCCTCTGCGGACTAGCCCACCGTTGGACGGCTTGCGGGCGACAGTGGCATTGGTTTTGGCAACAGTCTCGGAGTCTTCTTTTATCGATGATGCGCTAGACATGCGTCTTCTTATTCTAGCGAGTCGTCTGAGCATGGATGGGGTCCGTGCTGGAAGTGCAGCAGCTTCTTGCCGGGGTGCGGTCAATTCCGGGGTTGATTCGGGGGGCTCAAACTGGACAGGTGCTGTGGGGATGCTATTTGGTCGGTGATACATATCAACCGGTGAGGGTATGCGCCTGGAATTCGAAGCTGACCCACTGTTGACAGCTGGCAAATCGGCCCCGTCCTGGCGATCAGCGGCAGACGGCGTGGAGAAATCGCCGCGCAGGCCCTGCGGGAGCGGGTCATCAATGTCGCGCTCGGGCCGCTCTTCGAGCATTATCGAGTTTCGTTCCGAAGGTGTGGGCGGGGGTGGAGTGGGAGACTCGCGTCGAACAGCGGACGTCACAACGGCGGAGGTAGTGCCGGGTCCAAGTCCAACTGCTTCACGGCCAAGCACACCACGGGCCAATTCGGGCGATGACCGCAGCACCGGTGCAAGAGGGCGCGCAGAGTTTGCGCCAGCTGGTTGCTCAGACTGCAAATGGCCTTGCTGCAGACGGTGCTTCTCGGCCTGTCGAGCTAGTCGGCGCGCAGCTCTCTCTTCATCCTGGACTCGTCTCCTGTCTCTTCGCCGCGCATCTCTTTCCATGAGTTCTCGCAGGTCGCTAGCGTTCATATCGTTCGCCAGATCGTCAACGCGCTTGTGCGCCCTTAGCGTCGCTTCGGGAATCGGTTTCGAAAGCTTTCTCTTTTGTGAAATACTGCGCGCAGGAACATAGCCGCCACCGTTGCCTGGTGCGCTGGCCCTGGGTTGCGAGGCATAGCGTAAAGTCGGCTTTGGCGCCAAAGCAGCAAAAGGCGAAATAACAAAGGCAACCTGGTCGGAGTCGGACGACATGGCCGAATCGATGGACTCGGCCATGGGCAATGAGATATCGCTCGGAAGCTTTCGAGCATATCGGGCGGCAACGCTGTTGGGATGGGCAACCTTCATTGTTTCTCGCTTCATAGGACGGCCGGCGGACCAAGTTTCTGCCGCAGGCCGCATGGGTGTAAAGTCATAGCTGTCATTGGCGTTGCTGGGATTGCTCAAGGCCTTGATCTTGACCTCGCGCGCGCGGTCGTCTGCATTTTTACGCCTCCTGCTGCTTTTCGTTCGCGACATACGTTGACGCCCATCGCGTTTGCTGTCGGAATGGTGCAGTGTTGGATTGCGCTCGATTTGGGCGGTATTGCCGCCAATGCCGTCACTCGCTGAGCCATTGAGCGGGCCGCCATTAGCGTGAGGTGGCGAAGGGATAGATGGCTTGCGACGCGCCGCGCCCTTCCAGGTACCTGCGTTGCCAATCTCCAAGTTGTCGGCGCGGCCCGACTCAAAACTGTATGTGCGTATGCGGCGCTGGAGTTTGTTGGGTTCCGGGCGTTGGTGTTTTCTACTGCTAGGACGTCGCCGGATAGGCGACGAAGAAATCGGGCCTGCAGCGACCGGTCCACTCGGAGCGGTGAAGCTTCGCGGCATTGCGGAAAAATCATCCACGGGTGAGCTGGCGCGACCTCTTTTCCGCCGGCTCTTTCGTTTGAACAGCCAGAGAGCCATTTTGAGTTGAAAAGCTGGCTTGTTGGCCCAGCAGGCCGGCAGCGGGCAGTTTGTAGTGTTCGCTGGAGCGTGGACAGAATGCGTCGATGTTCCAACTGGTGCTTTAATTGAGTGCTGGGAGTTTTAGTCGCAGATTCGGGCCATTTCTGTCGCGGCTAGCGCTCATGGTGTCGACGAAGGTTAAGACGGTAGAGGTTTATGACTGCAGTCAGGGCGTACTGTTTGGAATGTGGGAAACGATTGTTCTGGCGTGAGGTAAAGACAGTTGAGTGTGGCGTCGTCGATAAGTGTGAACAAAAAATTATGAGAAGAAGAAAAGAAGCAGGGGAGGCGCAGGAAGAAACGAAGAACAGGAATACGAGGAGAAAAGAGGGATGGAGAATATGTTGTAGAGAGGGAGATGGGTCTAGCGGCGAGATTGAGATCTCCAGCGGCTTTCTTTTGCGGGTTGGTTTTGCACCCAACGGGAAGGGTGGGTAATTGGGAGTAAAAGCTTTCCGGAATGGCTGAAGAAGAGCCCCACCGTGGGTGAATGAGCGTAAAAATGCGCCGACAAAAAAAAGTCCCTTCGATGGGTTCAGTATCGTGTCAGGAATGGGAAGGAAATGTTTTGTGTCAGAGGCTGGGTTCCTTTTCTTAAAATAGTGACTGAGCAGTCCTTGGAAAGCGGCCAGTTTAGCGGGTCCCGACCGTGTCGTATCGTATTCCGTCGTTCTTCGCCTCTGCAAATTGCCGTTCTGTGCGGGTTGGGACCTGGTCCCTTCTCCTTCTGCCTTGCCCACTTCACTTTTGCCAGCGGCAGTTCGGTATAACCTCAGGGTTAGTTGGCTTGCTAGAAGACAAAAGGTCGAGGAGGGCTATATCAGAGGCGTGTTAATGAAGTTGGCGTGTCGACAATTTATGCACTCTCTGCCGGTAGGCTCTCTGCTACTGGGCTGTCGGAAGATGCTGCTATTTGGTAACATGAGGGCAGGCACAGAAAGCAGGAAATGAGACAGTCTGTCGAGTGATCGATCAGCTTGAGAGGGGCAAGTGTCTGGTAAATGGGAAGGGAAGGGAGGAAAGACAAAATGTGCAAAAGAAAGTAATAGTGAGCTTGAAGACGATCAAGACGACGAAACTGCAACCCAAAAAAGTCAGCAAGTCGGGCGATACGGAGGATACAAAGGGTGTGCCGGGCAGGGTTGCATACATCTTGTGTGTGTCAGTGGAGAGGTCCGTTTGCTGGGTCACAGGGGATCGTCAGCCGTTCGAAGGACTTCTCGAATAGTTGAACACTGCCTTCACAGACTAGAGTCTAGCTACCTGTTCCTCGAATTAGCTTTTCGCCTCCTCGTTCGCTTGGGTGGATTCCCAAAACAAGTGCTAAGATGCCTTGTGACGCAACTTTCCTGTATCCGTGCGACACAGAGGTGGGATCAAAGTGAGTGTTCTGCCGCCCAAGAGGGTCGAGAGGGTGTTCGACAAGGAGAGAACAGTGAGGAAACGCGAAAGTGGAAAATGCATGAAGCTACCGGCATGAAGACGCTACGCTTACCCACAAGTGGCCGCCGCCTGTTTCCGCCCGCCGTTAATACGTTGCAATTTTGCCTCTCAACGGGACAGGGGTGCTCTGCAATGAAATCGATGAAACCCAAGACATACGATGGATGGAAGCCCTCCACCTGGCCAAAAAAACGCGTACACACAAACGCTTTTTGGTGGAGATGTCGGCACTGTTACAGTGCTAAATTAAAGATTTCTTGCACTGAAAGACTGCTAGAACATTTTGTGTGTACGCCTTTTTTTGTCCAGGGGGAGAAGCCCTAGAGGGATGACGAAGGAGGGGTGGCGGGTTGTTTGGCCAGCTGGCTGAAGCCACAAAACTTGGTTGCAGGGGCCTGAGAAGGACAGCCGTTGGCCAGCGAGAAAACAGGCCCATGCGAGGGAGGGTGTGATTGGCGGTGGGCATGAGAGGGATGTGTCGGGTTGCAGGGGTGGTCAAACGGAAGTGGAAGAACGACATGGAGGCATCGAGGGAGAGGGAGAGAGGGACAGAGGGAGAATCACTGCAGAAAAGGGGGAAGACTATGATGCTGCTGGCCAGACGTCGTGGTCTGGCCCACACCGTCGACAAGCTTCCACCGCACAGGTTGACTGCAGGGCTAAATACGGTGCGTTCGCTGGCGATGCACAGCAGATGCCGGCGGGACACAGGTGTGAGTGGGCTGTCGTGCGTGGGCGCACCGTTTCTTCGGATGTTTATTTGAGGCTGGAAGAGTACGAACGGAACAGCAGACGTGAATGTGAAAAGAAGGAAAGGAGAGGGAGATATGAATACAGTAATGGAGGAAACTACAGCTCGAGGACGCAGGAAAGCGCGAATCGCCACAGTCAATGATTGGAAAGCTGCCTCCGTCGCTCTTTCCTGAACACGAGAACGAAACCAATACACTCAGACTCGCTGTCACAGGCAGGTCCCACGTTCCATCGCACTTTCCGTAAATATGATCAAGCTCAACCAGAGCACGATGAACTTTTAACGGGCGAAATACAGACACCACGTGCACCGCCGTGTAAAGCAATGTACGCCGGAATAACATTGAGTGCGTTCCAATGCAGGGTCGCTAAAGCACTTGAAATGAGGCTCAACGGGAGCAGCAACGAAAGACAAGATTTAGCAGAGCGTTTCTTCTTATCTTGCGAGCATTGCAATGGCCTTTCTCGGAATAACAATTCGTCAGACAGGCAGCTTGCATACACTGCACAACATCGAGGAGAGTGACGATGGAGATGACACTGCCCAACCTGCATGTGTCTACCATTCCCCGACAGCAAAACACACTGCTTCTCTCTCCATATGACTACAAGTTACATGGAATATGTCGTGGCTCGCAAGTACGACGCAGCAAGCGCCAGCATGTCCAGCCTGGGCACTATCAGACCCGGGCGCAGGTACGGCGTCCTGGCGCAGGAAGCATAGCGTTCGTACGCCATTGTCAGCTCTGACCAGACTCATTGTTCCTGCAGGCTGTTTGCAGCGGCTTGTGCAATCGACACTCGTTGCGGTATGTTCAGGCTGCGTTAAGGAGGCAAACGGGCGCCCTCTGTGCCACGAAGCATGGCAAACGAAATGAGAAGCCATGCGGTGCGCCCAGGTAGTATATCAAAAGTACGGAAGAGAAAGAGGCAGCAAGAACTGACAGCCAGGCCAGGACATCCTAGTCTGGTCTTTTCCTGCGCCGTCTTTTGTTCGTCTATTCTTGCCCCTGCCGTTGGGCATAAGGCTACTCCACTACGAAGAACGGTCGATCGGGCAGTTCGACTGGGATCGGCGTCCTTCTCAGGCTTTTGGCAGGTGTATGGGCCTTTTTTTGCCTGGAAAACTGGCCAACGGACAACGACCGCTGGCATTGACCACAGAAGGAATACTGGGACTGCTGAGTATTCCAGGTGACGGAATGCAAACAGAAACGAACAGATTTGTTCTAAAGAAAGAGTCCTCAAAAGACTTGGTCCTTGAACCTCACAAACACAGACAAGAAAGTACCACCTGGCAATCGTTGAGGTACAGCTTCGGTGCGAGGCACATAGTATTTCTACATTCCTTTGTTTACAAAAGTACCCAGCATTCCACCAACCAAAAGCAAGGACTGCTGCTCCAAAGCAAGCTTTGCATCGCCTCTCAAGAGCTGCAGCATGCGTGACCGAGGATGCTGACGTTCACTGTCGGATCGGACCTCTCAGTGGCCAGAACGAGGCCCTGGGGCGCATCCTTGGGCACATCCGGCTAGTCTGTGTTTCATGGCTGCAGCTGGGCAGGTTTCTGTACTTTCTTTTTCTTTTCTTTTTCGTGTTTGTTCTTTTTGTTCGGGGCCTCTCTCACAGAATGCTCAATCTCTTCCACCCTCGAGTCTTCCGCCACGCTCAGGTTCCATCCTTCCTGCTCTCGCACCGTCTTCCGTCTTCAGTTGTACCTCACGCATGTAGGTGCGCCATCCAAGACATCACCACGTTCCGTCCATTTGATTGGCTTGGATGTTTCGTTTCACGGAAAGCACCCGAGATGACTGACAGGGCTCTCCGGGCCTTCAGGGCTCTCGGCAGGTGTCTTGCACCGGGACGCCTGCACGGATTTTAAATTGCAATTTTTGGTTTGCGAATGTAATCAAATGGTTCATGCGGGCACCAATCGTCTCAATCAAGTGAAATGGCAGAGGACATGAGAAGAGACAGAGGGAGAGATAGAGAGGACAGACGACGGTACGAGCGTTTGTGGAACGGCGACAGTCGAGTATTTCTCCGGCATCATCTCCGCTTGGGCGCACGGGACGAGGAATATCCGTTGCCATCGAATCGAAATCGAATCAGATAACACACATACTGGTTTCTTTACCCAATGTCACGGCGCTTTGCCTGAAATGAAAATACAAAAGCAAAGAGGACAATACAGCCGTCCTCGTGCGACGAAGCAGCTCAGTACAGTCATGTTGTCAAGCTGATGGCCATTTCAGCAAACACAACCAAAGTTGCACAGGTACAGGAGAGAAAGCAAGTCCTAAACTTGTCGTTGAAACGCCTTCGTATCAATTGAAATTGATGACATTGATAGTCTGATACACATTTTAGTGTAAGTCGTAGTGGTGAAGCTTTTGGTGCGGGTTGGCGGCACCTTCCCAAGCGCGTTGCTGGGCAACTGCTCCACAATTAAACACAATACCAGAAACACGCGCCTCACCAATTGTCCCTTCCATGTCACAAATCGCGCTTCGATCATCAACAAAGAGCTCCAGCAAAATCGCCATTCGAAGCGCATCGCGACCTTTTGCCAGCCGGCACACATCACCAATACTACGATACCGACTCAATACATGACAATTACGCAACGACGCAACCATTGAGCTTACACACCAACAAGCGTCCGTCGACCCTTCACAATGGCGTTCAACCCGCGAATGTCAATTTTGCCGCCGAACCAGCATCGCAATGCCCGGCCCAAAGACGTGCCCGACCTGCTCGTGCGGCTCACAGACAAGGAGATTGTCGCGTGCGTTGCCGACATGGGCATCCCGTTCTCGGTCGCCGATCTGCAGAAACCGAATCCGCTGCTCGTCCAGAAGATCTTTGAGTGGTTCGCCGAGGAGCTGCTCAACGTGTCGCGCGAAACGGTGGAGCCGGCGATGCGGGCGGCCGCCGAAGAGGTGTGCGGCAGCGAATACGGCGACGTGCTGATGCCGGCGGACACGCGGTGCCTGATGGGCTTTTGCGCGTCGCTGCGCGTGCTGCTGGCCGAGTGCTGCGTGCGCGACTTTAGCCTCAACGACCTGTACCGGCCCACCTACGAGCGCCTCGTGATGATCCTGAGCTACCTCATCAACTTTGTGCGCTTCCGCGAGGGCCAGGGCCACATTGTCGACCAGCACGCGCAGCGGGGCGCCATGACGCGGCAGCGCGCCGACGAGCTGTACAGCGCGAACCAGGACCTCGAGCGGCGGCTCGAGGCGCTGCGCGCGGCGCGCAACGCGGCCGAGGCCGAGGTGCGGGAGAAGATGCAGCGCAACGACGCGCTGAAGCGCAACCTGGTGGACCTGCAGCGCAGCCAGCGGCAGGTGGGCGCGCGGCTGGACGAGGCGCGCGAGCGCAAGAAGCAGCTGGTGGACCAGCTCGAGCGTCGCACGCAGTCCAAGGTTGTGCTGCGGCAGGAGATTGCCAAGCTGCAGCCGTACGTCCTGCAGAGCCCGGCGTCGCTGCAGACCAACCTGGCCGACCTGTCCAACACGCTGAGTAACAACCGCGCGCACATTGAGTCGCTCGAGCGGCGGGCGCGCGCCCTGCAAACGTCGGCGGACTCGTTCCACGTGGTGGCGGGCGACGTGGCGGCGTGCATCAAGCTGCTGGACGAGATTGGCGCCGAGCTGGGCAAGGAGGAAGAGGACAATGCCAAGAAGAGCCGGCAGCGCGACGCGCTGACGGAGCGCGGCGCGGACGTCAAGGAGGTCGAGCGGGCGGAGCTAATGCTGCAGAAGCAGCTGGCCAAGTGGAACGAGCGGACGGAGAAGCTGCGCGAGCAGAGCGCGCAGAAGGCGCAGGAGGCCAAGGAGAAGATGGAGGAGCTCAAGCAGATCCACCGGACGCTCAACGAGGAGCGCAGCGACAAGGGCCGCGACATTGAGAAGCGCCGCGTGCGCATCGAGCAGACGGAGAAGAAGATGCTGGACCTCAAGGAGAACATTGAGAACGAGGTGCACAACGCCTACGACGAGTACCTCAAGATGGAGTCGCACATCAAGCTGTACATTACGGAGATGGAGCAGACGATGTGAGAGCGCTGGCGCGCGCGGTGGTGTGCAGTGTACGATCTTCTTGGTGCTTTCTGTTTGCTGTTTTCTCTATGACTGATGATGGGCGGATACCATGGGCGCGGCGTTTTCGGTTCTTGGGGTGATAAAGACTTTAATTTGATAACAAATAACGACTCTTCTTATCGACCGCAAGACACAGATGCAAAATTGTACTCGTAGTCCGGTCTAGGTGTCCATGGCCTCGTCGGACAGGTCATCTTCGTCTTCACTGTCTCTGACAAAGGTTTTCTGTGGCTTTTCTTCAACAACCTGGATAGTCTCTTCCACAAGGGAACCGTCACCTGTGCCTTCTGCATCTGCCTGTACTGCTTCTTCCACAAAAGTGACTGGGTCCTCGTTGGCCTCATCCGTCGCTTTCATGCGTTCAACCTCAACAGGTCCAGTTAGAGCATCGTCGGTGGCAGCCGTCTCAAACTTCTCCGCCTTCCGCACCTTTTCAACCTTCTCCTCCGTCTCCTCACTGTGCACTTCCACTTCCTCCTCTTTGACAGACTCCCGAAAGGCAAACCATCGCGCCAGGACAGCTTTGACTCGTTCCGTCCGAAGCGGATAGCCCGCCTTTTGCAGCTGTCGGCGGGGACCCGTGCTCAACACGGGCATCTTTTCGTCCCAGACGTCTGTGCTCCCTGTGGTCTCGGTGCCTTCCATCTGCGGTCGGCCCCCGTCCACGACCAACACATCCAGCCCCGTCCGCCATCCTGCCTCCACCAGCACGGCCGCCGACGCACTGAGGCCCTGGCTGCTCCACTCGCTCGTGTCCCGGTGCAGCCGCAAAAAAATCGTACACCACCAGAGCGTGGTCGCCACGACGGGCCGGCGGGGGCGCACCACCGGAGGACACGAGAGTGTCGGCTGCCGGTGGTGCCGTCACGCGGCTCGCTGCCAGGTCGAGGGCGGCCAAGAAGCCACGCAGGTGGGCGACGGTCGGCACAAAGGCGACGCGGATGTGGCGGGCAACAGCAACCTGCAGCAGAGATGCCGTGTGCAAGACGCCGTCGCCGCCGCCGTCGCCGTCGTCTTCTTTGCAAGCATCATCCACACAGCGACGCACAAAGTCGGTGCTGGACGAGCACACGATCAATGTCGTCGGATGGGCACAATGTGCCAGCACATGGGCCAGCAGTGCCGTAGGGCGTACAGGCGGCACTACGACAACGGGGCTGCCCATGGCGGCAGTTTGGTTCTTCAGTCGGCGTCCAGCGCCGGTTTCATGGTGTCATGGAGAGCAGCGTGCAGAAAGAAGTGTGTAGTCTGTCATTGCGTCGTGTTTTTGTGTTGTTTTCGATGGTGTTGTTTAGTCATCGTAGGTCGTTGGTCGCGCTTTCTCAAAATAAAATGTAACAGTCTTGTCGAGCCCCACTAAAACAACAGCTCGACAAAGCTTGAGCTCGGTGCACGTGCCTGCCCCAATTGCCCCCCACCAAACTCCAAATCAATGCCATTCCGTCATCCAAACAAGGCTTCCACCGCTCTCCTCCCAAACATCGACACTATCGTAACACGCACAGGGCGGCACACGACCGCCGACCCAAGGCCCATTGCCTACCCCGTAACGCACCTTCTCCTACTGAGCGGCTGCACCGGCGCTGTGCTGTGCCCGCAGCCATGGAGTCGATTTCGCGCATCTCCAACCTCCTCGAGAGTGGTGCGTCTGCTACATTTTCCCAGTCCATGTGGCTCTCCTTTTCTCCTCCTCCTCCTCCTCCTCCTCCTCCCCTGTGGAGCACTACATGCTGACCAAACTCCACCTCTTCAGCCCGCGAACTCACACTCGATGCGTCATCGGCTGCCCGCAGCGGCTTTCGCAGCCCTGCACGGCCGCTCGACAGCCGCCAGATCAAGAAGCTGCTCGATAGCCGCGCCGACCGCGACGTGCTCGACGGCCTGCGCCGTGTCACCACGATGGCCTACCGCGGCCAAAAAACACTGCCGTTCTTCTCGTCCGTCGTCAAGAATGTGGCGTCGCCCAACCTCGAGATCAAAAAGCTCGTCTACATTTATGTCGTGCACCACGCCGAACAAGAGCCGGACATGGCCCTGCTGTCCATCAACACCATCCAAAAATCGCTGTCCGACACCAACCCACAGGTGCGCGCGCTGGCCCTCCGCACCATGTCGGGCATCCGCGTGCCCGTGATCAGCCAGATCGTGTCGCTGGCGATCAAAAAGGGCGCCGCCGACATGAGCCCCTACGTGCGACGGGCGGCCGCCCTGGCGATTCCCAAATGCTACCGGCTCGACCCGAGCCAGCTGCCGTCGCTGCTCGAGTATTTGGGGACGCTTCTGGGCGACAAGCAGTACTATGTGGCGGGTGCCGCAGTGGCCGCGTTCATGGCCGTGTGCCCGGAGCGGCTGGACCTGATTCACCGGCACTACCGCGACCTGGTGCGCAAGCTGGTCGACATGGACGAGTGGAGCCAGCTGGCAACGCTGCGGATGCTGACGATCTACGCGCGCAAGTGCTTTCCGCGGAGGACGCGGCAGGTGGCGCAAGAGAGCACGACTGCAGCCAGCAACAACAGCAGGCGCAGCTACAAGACAACGGCGGCACGCACCCTCGACCTGGGCGATTTCTACGGCGAGCCCGCCGCCGACAGCAGTGGAAGCAGCGACACGGGCCAGGTGGCTACTCCGACGGAGCCCTCCACCTTCCAGACCGTCGTCGATCTCGACCCAGACCTGACTCTGTTCCTCAACGCCATTCGTCCCCTGCTCCAGAGCCGCAATGCGGGCGTCGTCGTGGCCGTCGCCCGCTGCTACGTGAGCGTCGGCACCGCCGAGTACGTCCGCGATGCCGTGGGCCCGCTCGTTGCCCTGCTGCGCGGACCCCAGGACACCCAGCAGATTGCTCTGTACAACATTGCCTCTGTATGCCTTGCCTACCCTGCCGACTTTGTACGCTACGCATCGCGGTTCCTCGTCCGCGCCACCGATCCACCGGCCGTTTGGCGCCTCAAGCTCGAGGTGCTGGCACTGCTTTTCCCGCACAGCCCGGCACCCATCAAGTCGCTCATCCTCAGCGAGCTCGAGCACTTTGCGCGGGGGTCCGATAAGGCTCTTGTACGCGAGGCCGTCCGCGCCATTGGACGGTGTGCGCAGGCAACCGACGGTCCCGGCGGTTCAGGTGGGCAAGCGGACGCGACGACCGCGGCCCGCTGCCTGCGGCTGCTGCTGGCCCAGATCACCAGTCTCGACGGCACGCTCGCGGCCGAGTCGCTGACCGTGATCCGCCACCTGATCCAGCAGGACCCGGAAGCACACGCGGCTACTGTTGTACGGCTCGCCAAGAACTTGGACGCCGCAGCCGACCCGCAGGCGCGTGCCACGATCATCTGGCTCGTTGGCGAGTTCTCCGGTCTCAACGGCGAGGACAACATTGCCGCCGACGTGCTGCGCATCCTCCTCAAGGACTTTGCCAGTGAATCCGAGGCCGCCAAGCGCCAGATTGTGCTGCTGGCCGCCAAAGTGTACCTGCACCACATCAACCGCGAAGCCGAGCGGAATCCCCCACCTGCACCATCGGACGCCAAGCCAACGCCGTCACCCACACCCTCGCCGCTGGCTGACCTCGTTCCAGAAGGTTTTGCCGACGACGGCGGGTTCGGATCTCCGCCGTCGCACTCGCCTTTGCCCGCCGCGTCGCCGGCCCCCGACGAGTCGGCCGATCACCCCATCCGTCGCCTCTGGGACTACGTTCTCTTGCTTGCGCGCTACGATGTCTCCTACGATCTCCGCGACCGCACCCGCCTCTACCGCGCGCTGCTCGAGGTGCCGCAGCTGGCCACGCTGATGCTGCTCGCACCCAAGCCTGTGCCGCACGCGCCCAGTCCATCCGCAGTGCGTCGCGGGTTTACCCTCGGATCGGCGGCTCTGGTTCTGGGCGCAGGCGGCGACGCATCCTCCGCTGCCAGTCTCGACAGCACGGGCGGCGGCACGGTCAGCCGCGGTATGCTGCATGGGATCCGGGGCTACGAGCCGCTGCCCGACTGGGTGCACGAGGGTGACGAGCCGGACGCGCGGCTGCGGGAGACGGAGGAGAGTCTGGCCGCAGCACAGTACGACGACCGTCGTAGCGGCAAATCCGGAGCTGTGCCGGCCGGCGCGAGCCTGGATGCCGCGGCGGCCAAGAGTCGTGGCCCGGTGGTTGGTGGAGCCGGGACCAACGGCGGCCGGGCCGCCGCGGGCAAGCTAGGATCCAAGACACTTGATGACTGGCTTGCCGAAGAAGAGGCCGAGGAAGAAGACGACGACGATGACGATGACGACGATGACGAAGAAGAAGACAGCAGTGAGGAAGAGAGCAGTGACGAAGGCGACGATGAAGACGAGGAGGAAAGCGAAGAAGAAGAGAGCAGTGAGGAGGAAGACGATGAGAGTGAGAGCGGCGAGGAAAACGACCGTCTGATGCCGGCGTAGACCCGCGTGGGACGGGGAGCATATACAACAAGCATTTGCCTAGACTGGGCATCACATATACAGGCGTTCCGGGACAACCGGCCATTGCAATAAAAGTATGAATTTACGACAATATTTGATGCGAGAGTTGTTCCTCGTCGTCTCTAAACGAATATGTCGAATGGCATTCAAAATAGGTTTTCTGTTTTTGACAACTTTATGTCAGCCATTTTATTATTATTTTTTGTTTTTCTTCTACAAATTCAATTTACAAAAATAAAAATTAAAACAAAATAAAAGAACGACAAATTATCATAATTTTCGATCTCATCTACGTTTTACAAAATTGACTGTCGATTGGGTGACCAAGTTCCCATCACGAAGGCCGTAAGATACACCATTTGCTCGAAAGCTCAAGCTCTCTATGCACAGCTTGACTCCTGTCTCCTGTCTCGGCAGTGCTCGCTGGATCATTGTCCCGTATCTCCGGCTTCCACCAGTAAGCGCTGCAGTGGCCTAACCAGCTATGGAGTTCTTTTTGCTGTTGAAGTTTTAGCGGTGAGTCAAACCCTTCAGCGATCCTTCAGCGATCCTCCAGCAGTTAGTGGCTTACGGGCCTCGCAGGACAGGTCGAACCTACCTACAAACTGTTCCGGCGATAAATGGTGTTGTCTCCGTTGTCTTGGTCGGCGCTCGGTTGTACTGAAGCCGCGGAAGCACCTCTATTTAGTTGCTGTAAGATATGCCGTATTTCAGCTCTCACGTCAGTTCAAGAAGCTTTGTATTCCTGTTTTCCTTCCCAGCCTCCTGCATCTCACACTGACCGTCAGACTTCAGTGGACCGTCCTCTGTTATCTCCGACTTCGGGGTGTGCGTAAGATACAAGGATTTTGCGGGTCACTGAGTTGTTCAGGCGCTGGAAGCTCGGGGCGTGGGCTTTTAGGCCCGCCGCCTGCACCTACACGCGGCCTTATCCAGCGGTCTTAATGGTCCCTGGTTTCGGTGCCAGTTTGGTCCCAGCTCCTTGCTGAAAGCCGCCTAGCGCACCCGATGGGCAAGCACCCGTTCCTGTATCGGTGGCGCTGGAGCCACTAAAACAAACATCTCGATCCGTTTCAGGGCACTCGGCAACCCAGACAGGGGATGATGCCCCCCACAGACAGCCTAAAATACCCCCCATAGCGGCACCATCAGCGAGAGCGGAACGTTTTTGAGCAACCCTTTTGCGACACGGTCGGGTCGCAAGTCCCAAGACCAATAAAAAAGACGACGGTCGCAAACAAAACTTTTGAGATTAAGCAGAGGAGTTAGAAAGCAACAAGAGGCTTGTCAGTATGCATCATCACACAATGCATTTGGATACAATATAGTCTCTCCCTCTCCCTGCTCCTTCCCTCGCTATCGCCTTCCTCTTTCCTCCCCTTCCGTACCTTCCCCGTGTTTTCCCCGTTTCCCCGTGCCTTCCGGTTCGCTCGCTCTTTACTCTCTTATCGGCTATCGTCAACGACACCAGCCACCACTCACCACTTTGGGGAAATCAACCTCCACATATTCGACGACTGACAGCCGGAGACGACAGCGCTCACTCGTAACGGAGTCTTCTCTCCCGTCGGCAGAACGAGTACGGGCATTGACTCGCTGTGACGCTTGCATGCGTTGGACTACACCGAGCCGTAACGCATCGCCCGGCTCCGGCTGACGGACGCCGCAGCCACCGATTTCCTTCTTTTCTTTTCACAACCGCCGCCACAGCTTTCCCACCATGGCACCACCGGCTACGGCACCGGTGCTCGTGCCGACCGACGGCCTGGGAAGATCCCGAACCGGCCTCCATGAAGCCATGGTGACACCCTCGCCGGCTGTGTCTTCGGCACCGTCGTCCTTCTCGGATTCGTCCTCCTCAGCAACGTCTTCCTCCTCAGACTCGTCAAGACAGCCGTCGACTTCCACCTCATCACCGTCGGCATTACAGCCAGACTCGACATCCACACCCTCGAGACCCAAGTTACTCACGCCGTCCCTCCCGCCCGCCCATATACCTCCGTCGCCATTCCCAAAACGAGCCCCAGGCGGCTCATCTTCCACCTCCTCCACCGCCACCACGTCTTCTACTACCGCCGCTGCGGCCAAGCCCCAGTACAACACCCGACACCTGGGCCTCCGTCTCGCTGCCGACGCCGCCAGCGGTTTCACCGCCGCCTCCTTGGTTGCGCCGATCATCGCCATCATCGACCGCAGCATCATGGAAAACGCCTCGGGCGCCAACTCCCTCGCCGGCTCTCTGCGTGCCTCCTTTGCGACCCTCGTCCGCCGCCCCCAGCAGATCCTGTGGAGCAAACCGTTTGGCCTCATCTGCCTGCTCTACGGCAGCACCTACTTCACGGCCAACGCCGTCGACACCGCCACCAGCACCGCCCACAACCGCCCCGCCTCGCACGTCACCGCCGGCGCCGCCAAGTTTGCCGCCTCGTCTGCCACCAACATTGGCGTCTGCATCTACAAGGACCAGGTGTTTGTCCGCATGTTTGGCCCGCCCGGCGCCGTGCCGCGCCCCGTGCCGCTGCCGTCGTACCTGCTGTTTGCCCTGCGCGACTGCATGACCATTTTCGCGTCCTTCAACATCCCCCCGCGGCTGGGGCCGTACCTCGACGACAAGCTTGGTCTGGGCGGCGAGGCGGCCGCCCGCCAGGCCCTGTCGCGCGCCGTATCCGGCCTGGCGGTGGCGCAGTTTGCCGCGCCCGCGCTGACCCAGTTTGTCTCGACGCCGGTGCACCTGCTGGGCCTCGACCTCTACAACCGCCCGTGGCAGGCGAGCGGGCCGGCCGGCCATGCCAATGGCCCGGCGACCTGGGCGGACCGGTTTGCCGCCGTGCGCAGGAACTGGCTGGTGAGCTCGCTGGCGCGCATTGGCCGCATTGTGCCGGCGTTTGGTGTCGGCGGCGTGGTCAACATGAAGATGCGCAAGTCGCTGATGACGCCGCTGGAGTAAGGGTGCACCTCGGCCGTCGTTCAGCGTCGTTTTCTCTGATCGTTCTCTGATCTGAATGCATCCCCTTCGCCTTTCATTTTTTCTTCGTCATTCTCCTCATACATGGGACACGGAAACGGACCAGGCTCATTGAGACCCATGACGGGCGCCGTACGCGATTATAGACTCATACACCATTTACACGGTCTCGGATTAGACACACAGGACTTGTCAAGCATTTGTTGTCGTTTTATGGCTTTTCTCTTTATGTTCGTACTTTGTTTTGTGCGTCTTTTCTTCATACACGCGCTATACTCTTTCACGACACAACGGCGTCTTCGGACGGAATGCTTCGTAATGAATTGTACGACTAGCTTAAACGTGCACACTCTGGATTCGGTTCTCTCATTTCATTTTATCTCATAATTTGGCGATTTTCTTTTCCATTTCAGACCATCTCACCACCAGTCATCAAAAATTAGAACAAACAACGCGCCGTACACGCCCTCAAGGCGTAAATTACAAGAAAGTGTCATTGAGTTTTTGCTTTGCCCTGCAAACGCTTGCCATGTGCCTCGAATATGAACGTTTCGTAGCCCCCCCCCCCCCCCCCCCCCCCCCCCACGCCAACCCACCGCCGTCAGGAACTCCACTTGGTTTTATCTTAACATTCATCTCCCAGTCACCTTCCTGTAGGCAAGGCTTTCCTCTCAAAGTATGACAATGCCCTCCTATCCTAGCAGCCAACGCCAGGACCAATAGACGGTCAAGACATAAAAACAACATAAAACAAAAAAAAATAGTACAATCTAAAAGGGTCAAACGAGAAGCGAAAGAGAGAATATAAAGAAGGCGAACAAGACGGAGAACACCAGTTCCTGCATCCTTCAACTCTGCTGCTCGCTCTTGAGCAGCGCCCGAAGACTGACAGCCTCGCGCCGCAGCCGCGCATTGTCCTTTTTGAGCCGCGCCGTCTCCTCCGTCTGTTCCTTGAGCTTGGCCACGAGCTCCTCCTTGTCCTCGCGACCTTTGCCCTTGAGCGCCCGCACAATCTTGCCGAGCTCCGTGTTGAACTTCTCGTACAGCAGCTCGTTCTCCGCCGTCGCCTCCTTGTACATTTGGTCAATCGCCCGCACCTTGCCCTCGGACGCCTTGACCGTGGCGTCCATGTCGCGCTGCAGCGCCTCTTGGCGGTCGCTGACTTCCTGCAACCGCTTCGGCAGGCGTGCCTCGAGTGCTTGCACCGCGGCGGCCAGCGTCCGGAGATCGACCGTGGTCGTGCCCGGCGCAGGACCCGTACTCGTACTTGGAGGAGGAGGCCCTGCACGGTTCAGCTTGGCCATGTTTTCAGAGATGAGAGACAGCTCCGACTGCAACGACGCGTCAACCTCTTCCACCGCCCGCTTCTCTGACTGCAGGCGCTCACGCAGCTTCTGTGGTGACTGAAGGCGCAGCTTCTGTCCCGTGCCGCCAAGTGTGGATCCGTTGTTAGCAGAGGCCAGCGTGCCGGGTGTCAGCTTGGATGGACTCGGTGGAGGGAGGTGGCTCTGGCGGGTGGGCGATATTGAGCCCGGCGGAGGCAAAATTGTGCCGGCCGCCCGCGATGTCTTGAGCGTCGGGATGTGCGAGCCACTGGACAAAGTCTTGCTGTGGCCCGGCTCGTACACGGGCTGCTGCGGGGAATCGCCCGCCGCGATATTTTCCTTTTGGGTCGGGGACTGGAACATGCTGGCCAACTGCGGCGGGGCCTGTATTTGCTGCGCCTGTGTGCTGTTCTGCCGGCCGTGGCTCTGGAATTGTGTCTGTGACAGCGATTGGGGGCTCTTGGGAATCTTGGACGGCGAGGGTGCGCGCGGGCCCGCATTCACCTTCTCGGACGTGATCTTAGTTGTCCGGAGAGGAATAGGGGGCAACGGGCTATCGTTGTTCTTTGATACCGGGCTGGGCTGAACATCATCGTCATCGAGGCTCACAACAGCCATCAGACTCTTGAGATCAGACAGCGAGCTGCGGCGCTTTTTCTTGAGCGACTTTTCCGTGACCGACTTGCCGGACGTGCCGACCCCCGGCTCTGTGTCTGGCTCGCCGATTGTCTCCAACTGTTTATGCGAGCTTGTCGGACGGTGTGAGCTTGTGGGCCGCTGCATCATGGACAGGTCGTCAAAGGCACCCGCAATAGGGGGACGATCACGCGATGCAGGGCGCCTCATGAGCTTGTTCATGCCCATGGGCGAGTGGTTGCCCATATCAATGGACCGAGAGCGGTTGACGTAGCTGGCCGACGTCGCCTTGGACAAACTTGAGCTTTCGCCCGTCGCCGGGTTCCGGTGGTGCTTGCTGAGACTCCGCCACATGGACGGGCGTTCCGACGTGGAATCCGCAAGACCGCTTGCACCGCTCACCATGTTCTCCAGTCCCCGGTTGCTGCTGCTATTTTGACGAAGCAGAGATTCGAGGCCAAACTTTCGCCGGAGTGACGAGGTGTTGGATGTCAGGGAGCCAGTTGCAGATTTGTGGCTCCGGGCCACAGACGAATTCAAGGACTCGTAGGCGGAGCTGCGCAGATGGATGCCTGAGCCAAGTCCAATCTCGTCAAAGATGCGGTCGCAGTCTTGGACAAGGAGGTCGAGCAAGTTGATGTAGTTGTGCGGATCTCCGTTTCCTGCAACCAGGAGCTCCGCGAAAGCCAGAGTCAGGGCACCGCGGTCGCCGTCGTCGCTGCACCCGTCAAGGAGGTCGGCTAGAAGCTTGATCAAAGCTGTAAATGCACGTCGATTCTGTGGTGCCATATCGCCGAACAGGTAGTTGACAAAGTCGGCAAAATCGCCTGGCACCTTGCGAATGGCACGTTCCTGCAGAGCGTCAAGTGACTGGATGGTCATGATGGTTCCCATCTGGTCGCGCCAGGCGATGCGTGTGAACTTTTCAAAGGCGGCAAAGACAACCTCGGGCATTAGGTCCGAGGACGACTCCCAGTCGTACGGGCTCTCGTTCAGCCTGTTGTACAGCAAATTGACCGACAGCTCGTCGGCAGAACTGGAACTGCGGCCGAGCAAGGTCCGAGCAACAAACTGGCCCTTCCGCGCCTGGAGAGCAGCGACGTATCCAGTAAAGGTTTGCTCCAAGCGCACCAGGGGGTTCTCCGGCCGCGATGCGTCGCCACCAAAAGTTGCACCGCCAGTGCGGTCCCGGATTGACCCGCTGAGGGATGCAGTGTCGGCTTGAGGTGGTTGTGGTGGGCGGCTGCTGCTGGACTGTGACCGCTGCAGACGCATGGAGCCGTGTATGGTTTCGGATAGGGTGGTTGTGCTTGTGTTCGCAACGGCGGCTACAGCCGGTGAAGCGTTGTTGCTAGCAACATTGGTCGTGCTGCCACCACTCAGGAAGCTCGACAACAGCTTGACGGGAGACGAGCCAAGGAACGACTTGGTTTTCTCGGCGCGGTTGCCAAACTTGAGCGAGCGCAGTGTCTTGGTGTGGTAGGAGACAAGAGCAGGGACCAGCTTGGGATTGGACGGGTTGTACTGAGAGCTCATGAGCTGGATGATGCGCCGCGCGAGAGTCGGCAAGAAGTCATCTTGGGCAATGTCATCTGAGTACCGCTTGCCATTGAGGCCGACCGTGTTCATAATCAGGCGTTTCTCTCCGTTGCTGTAGCTGCCCCGGCTGCCCGTGCTGCTGCGGCCGACGTCCGTTCGCACCTCAACGACAATCTCGACACCGTAGTGGCCGACAGGAGCGCCTTTAGTGCCCAGGTGATTGTCGAAGACGACGCGCACAGGGGCGGGCTCCCGGCGGCCCTCGATAAGCTCTTCGGCGGCCTCTTGGAAGACGGCGGCATGGAGGCCCATATTGTTGTTCTCGGGAAGGCGAACCGAGCGGAGCGACCAGGTGGGTGTCTCACGCTCAGCCTCAGAGAAACGTCCCTCGATGCGAGCTTTGACGAGGTCCTCGCTCCATCGCATAGCCTTGGCCTCAAACGTCTCTTGGAGGACGAAGCAGCGCGAGGTAATGGCCTTGCTGGCCATGTAGTCACCTGAGTGTGCGCTCTTCATCTCTTGCGTCGAGGTCATCCACACAAGACGGCTGTCTGCGGATTCCGTGAAGCACACATCGGCTAGCCGGTGCCACCCGCTGAAGGCGAAGTCGTACGTTCCTGGGCCGCCTGCTGCGTTGGTCATGGACACCAATAGGCCGGCCGGCGACGGTTTGTCAATCTCGCGCAGGAGGTCACGGCCCGTGAACGTTGTGCCTGCCTTCTTCTTGACAACAACGAGGCAGTCGCTGAAGAGCAAGAAGAGGCCAGCACGATCCTGGATACCAATGCTGTGCGCGTCAGCATCGTAGGGGGCGGCCAGCTCGACAAAGTCGGCGGCTAGAACCAGACGGCCCCGTGGCTCGAGGTCCATGGGCCAGCACTCGACCAGATTGCGCAACCGGTTGACGACATGGGGCTTGTTGTCAGACGGGTCGTCCATGGAGCAAATGTTTGTGATGATGTCGCGCGCCTTTAGCATCAACTGCAGGGCTGGGTGTGTGATAGGCAGGCAGCCGACAATCTGGTCGATGAAGAGGCTATAGCGCGGCAGGCGCTGCACCGGTTCGATGAGGATAGAGCGCAACGCCTGCTCACCGGTGGTTTGCACAACACGGTCCCGGAAGCTGGACTGGTTGTTGTCGAGAAAGCTGCTCAGCAGCTGTGGGAAGTTCTGGCTAGCACGAATGTAGTCTTGGTAGCAGTCGGTGAACTTGGGAAACCACTCGAGGAAGGTTTTGGCCATGGCTAAAGCACCGCTAGGATCCTTGACACGGACGGAGCCACCGCCACTAGGGGCGTGGGAGCTGACCAGCATGGTGCGCGACGAGGCCGACCCAAATGTGTATGGTATGTCCAGGTCGCGCACCGCATCCTCCTCGGTGTCATCCATGACACGGCGCAAGTCCTGCATAAAGGCCGAGTTGACTTGCAGGATGTGATCTGCAGAGCGCGGGAAGAGACGGTCGACGTCTTCCATGGACGGACTCGAGCTAGACGCCGTGCGGTCCTTGGCCTTCTGGCGGAAGTCATCGGCAATGTGTTTAACGAGCTCATTGAGCTTGAGCACGTAGCGCTCCTCGGTGTCCACCAGCTCGCCCATCTGCATGCGCAGCTCGACCTTTTGGTCCTTTGTAAAGGCCTTTGTGCGGTGGTTGAGCGAGCTGGGCCGCGACGGCGCGCGGCGCAACTTGGATGTGGGAAGGAAGACGGGCTCGCCGAAGAGCTTGACGAGAGGAGTGTACGCCGGATCATACTGGCGCAAGGTCGGGTCAAGGATCACATCGTCGTCGTCATCTTCGACGGCGCCGCTGGCGCCGTCGCCGTCGAGAGAGGGGAGTCGAATGGCTCCGGGTGGAAGGACAAGGTCGAGATCGATGTTGCTCACGTGCTGTGTCTGCAGCGCACACTCGAGGGCGCGCAGGTGCTCGTCGATGTTGGTCTCGACGCAGGCCATGGCTTTGGCGAGGTCTGCGGCATGTTGCTCGCCGAAGAGGGCCGGCGCCGAGCCCGGACGGCGGCCGCGTGTGGTTGGGTACTGGTTGCGCAGGTAGGTCTTGACGGACTCTGGCAGCTCGCTGAAGTACTTGAAGAGGGAGAAGGCGAGGCCGCGGCAGATTTCGTCGCCTTGGAACTCGCGGGGCAGGTGGGTCACGACGCTGTAAAAGTCGGAGCTGGGCGAGACGGTGAGGCGGGGGAAGGACTGGAAGCCGGCGGGCGAGTAGATGTGGACTTGGATGCGTGAGCTGTTGTGTGTGAAGTTGGCCGTGGTCGAAGGCCCGTGGAAGGCGAGGACGGGCAGGTGGCCGAGCAGAGGGTCACTGGCATGGTAGAGCGCGATGGTCTCTGGCGAAATTGCCAGCTCGTCGGTGACGCGCACCATGGCGACGACGTGCGACGGGGCTGGGAAGAGAACGCGCGCCTTGGTCGGAGAAAGCGGGAGGGGAGGCTAGACGACCGTCATGGGCTTGGTGGGATGGCACTGTGATGCAATGCGGTCGGATGTGAGGCCCAGGTCGGCGATCGCAGATTCGACACAATGACAAAGAAAAAGATGCGCAGGTGAGGAATGTCGAATAGAATGGGTCAAAGGCGGCCAACTGGGTCGCAGCCAAAGGCGGTCGAGGTTGGCCGACTCGAGCGGACCACAAAACAAAGATATAAATAAAACAGGGGGGTAGAAAGTAACAAGGGGACGAGTGGCAGCAAGAGGAGAGCTGAAGAGGGAAACGAGGAAGGGGAATAGAGAGACAAGAGTGGGTCCACAGGTCTCTTCCTTGTTGAGGTAAACACCAGCAGGCGGGGCTGGACAAGTAGGTGGTCTACGGACGATACAAAGGCGAACAGAAACCTTTGATGTCGTTCGTGCTGCGTCAAGTAGTACTTTCTGTGTGCGTTTTGTGTTCGTATACTTGTCTGTCCAGCGTGACGTCGTTGTGCCAAGTGTAGCCCTCGTCGCGTAAGCTGGCGATGTCAACAAAGCGGACGGGCGTGCGAGAGACGGCGGGGGATGTCGAGCTGCAGCAGGGCAAGCCGCGGTATGAATGAAAGAAGAGGGAAGAAGTCGACCTTGAAGGTAGAGGAAAGCAATCAAAAGTCAGAAGAAAAGAAAGATCTGGGTTGGACGCGGTGGACTCAGCGTGGAACGGTCGATCTCGCCCCGTATGACCGGCCCGATCGTAGCAGAAAAGCAGTGATAATACCAGCGACGACCTAGGCTGGGGCAGGGGGTTGGTTTTCCCAGGTCAATGGCCCGTCTGGTCCTGTTGGTGAAGCGAAACAGCCCGTGTCGACCTCGTGGGTTCGGTTGGCCGGAATGGAGGTTCGTTTGAACGGCCCATTGATTGACGGAGAACCCCTTTAATGTCCTTTTCTGTATTCCTCCTCACTGCCGGCCGCACTTTCCCTGTGTATTGAAATTCGCCGTCGTTCCTACCACCCTACAGTGTTTTCCTTTTTGCACTGCCGCTTGGATGCGGAAAGAGCGCATCGAAAGGAAAGTACGGGGTATGCTCCTGCTCTGAGGTTGTTGAACCTATCGCAGCTCTTGCTTGCTGTGGCAGAAAATGGCACAACTGGACCCCGCGCCTGGGACTAGTCTGTTTCGCGCGAAAAGTAAACAATGGAATGTCAGCCAAATGACAGGAACGCGTGCGCCGAGGACGGGACGAAACCACTACTACTACGCGCTAGTGTTCAGATTTGACGCCATTCTTTCTGGGCTCGTATCCTTTTGCTGCATATGACACTCTTAAGCGAAACAACAGGTGAACCCACAGCCCACGCCGTGCCGTGTCTCCAGCCTCTTTATTATTCTCGTCTCTATATCACGGAGGGCAGTTAATATATAGTTGACCGGGATTTCCTGCCACTTTTCTTTCTTTTTTCTTTCTTCCTTGTTGCTTTTCTCCGTGTCTCATACCAGTGGCTACATACTCGTAGTGTCCCTCTGTTTTGCGGGTAGTTGCATATTCGTGTAAGAGCACAGCAGATACCTGCATCTGTACCGCATATTGTGTAAAGTGAGAAGGAGGATACGAGAAGACAAAGCGAGTGATTGTTAGTAGTGGAGGATGATTTTTACCCTCGAGGAGTCCGTAATGCAACTTCGAAGGCACATATATTGTCACGTATTTCTAGTACTAAACGCCAAAAGGACGTGTAAATTGGCTTCAAATGTGGGGCAACCTTGACTTTACTCCGTCCCTTTACAGGTGGCGCACTCTGAACAGACACCACATCAATTCTTTCTGTACACACACCGTACCATGTCCTCACAAGATCTGTCCTCGGCCATTCCCCTGGTCCACGCGTCCGACGGCATCGGCTACCGGCTGATCGAGCTACCAGGCGAGCTTGTCGACGACCGCACGCAGTAAGTCCACCGCCAGGTATCACGTCTCCCTCCTCTCGGTTCGAGCTCCCACTAATGATAGCCACAGGTGGTCCCTGTCGTCCTCGGCCGACGGCTTGGCCCGCCTCAAAGCGGCGGGCCGGACGTACGCGCTGCGGCAAAAGAACACGTCCAACGCGCTGGTGCTGCTGCGGGCGGGTGCAGACACCGACGCCAACGCAAACGCAGACGCAAATGGAGGACTTCCCAAGCCCACCATGTCCGCCATTGCGACCGTGCACGAGACGGTGGAGCTTATTGAGGAGAAGGAGCCGGCCACGTCGACCTTCCAAGCACCCAAACCGGTAGCGGCGCCGGCCCGCGGCAAGTGGCACGAGAAGTTTGGGCGCACGCGGTAGACAAGACTGCATGATCTCATCTTGCTCATACGTACTTACGCGTCTATGAATTGTGATGATTTAGGCGCATATGGTTTTCTAGCTACGATTTCTGTTTTTGTCATGGTGTACGGGGACCATAGATGGAAAAGGGACGACGGGTATATTTACCAACTATCTAAGTAATGGACCAAAAACATCCTTTGCTAAATGCAGTATTTGACCAAGGAAGGGAAACTTGAAGAAGTTTGACAAAGGAAAGGGCCAAGGAAAAGGCGAATGAACACTCGGTGACGGCCATCTATACATAAAGGAAAGACAAAAGCAAAATATAAAAGACATGGCCCAGACAATGGATGTGTAGAGGCGATATTGATCGCGGCGAAAGACAGAACGCTCAAGATGGGAAAAAATATATGTCAAAACAAAATTGCAAAATATGCTGCATAGACAAAAAGAGGAATTCCAAACGTCGTTCATCGTGGTGGTCGCGGAGTTTTGTCTTGACTTTGCACAAGCCCCGCAAGCCACCTCTGCTCCATGTTTCACTCACACTGCACGAGCCTCTGGTGCTTCGGCGGAGCCTTCTCCATTACAACCGACTGCTGTACCCAAAGGACATGGTCGCCGCCTGTCGGGTCTGCTGCGCCCGGGACCGCACTCAGCGTTGATTAGCTGCCCGCCGTTCGGCATCTTCGTTCTTACGGCGGCTCTCGTCGGCCGCCACCTGTTCGGAGATCTGGAATTTCAGATGGTCAATGTTGACATCCGGGTTATTCTCGATTGCCTTTTGACGGGCCGCCTCCTCGGCGTTGAGCACTTCCACTTCATGGCGTTCCTCGGCACTCTCAAACAGCGGGCAGTTGCCCGCCTTTCCACCTCGGGAAGTGTCGTCGAAATGCGAGTAATCGCACGATTGGTGACAGACATAACACTGCACATTGGAGCAGCCGGCACGCGTGCACGTCATCTTGTTGCAGCCGAGCTCCTTGATGAAAGGTGTGCCACCTGACGAGAAAATTAGCATGCGCACCAATAAACGCAGAACAATAGCAACGGCACTAGGAAGGCTATACTCACATTTGTTGCACTTGCGGATCATGGCCAGTGACATGGCCTCCTCGATCGTCAGACGCACTGCTGCTCCCTTATCCTTCTCGACCTCGTCGCAGCTCTTGGGAATATGCGACTCTTTGCGGCACAGACGACAGGTGACGGCCTCGCACTCGGAGTTCTGGCATGCAAACTCCTTGTTGACCTCCACAGGCGGGTATTCAGCTGCATAAGGGCAGAAGGGGCATGTCTCGAGATTCTCGATGCCGGCGACACGCAGGACAAACTCTTGCTCGATGCTGTCGAGGGCCATTGCCGTCTTCGGGTCGAGGAAGCGGTCGCGCTCCGCACGGGCAAAGCCTGCCTGGCAGCCGTCCATGGACATGCACGCCAGCTCGTACTTGGACAGACCGATTTGGGTTTCCGCCATGCGCCGCGCGCAGTCGACACAAAACCACTGTGACTGTTAGTGAATATACTCTTATGCCACATTGTATAATACCGGAGGAGAGGGGAAAAACGTACATGTAGAGTGGAGGCATTGCAGTGCACCATGCGGTTCATGGGGAAGTCTCCGAAGCAACACTCGCAATCCTTGATAGTCCCGTCCTTCTTGGCCTGCTCGATATTGGCAGCTTCGCTGATTTCCCGCTGCTTCTCTTCGTCGCGCTTCACTTTACGGAGCTGTCGAATTTTGAGAGCCGCAAGGTACTCCTCCAGGGCGTCCTTTTTCGACTCCGACTCCTCAATACGGATCATCCCTGGCAGGGATTCCATCGAGTAAACCGGATTCAACTTGGTCTTTGTCTTCTTGAATACAAATCCCAGATGCAGCGGGCCCTTGTGAACAATGTGCTCATCGAGGTCGAGTAGGGCAAGCAAGAGGCAGTTGCCGTGTTTAGTCAGTTGCGTGGTGATGAACTTATGCGGCACATATGGGTATGCCTGTTGCAAAAGCGTGCGAGCTGTTGGGGTGTACGCGCCCACCTTGTGCCTGCTTCGACGTTCGTCGCTGTTGAAAAATCGAGCAGCACGCTCTTCTCTCTCTTTTACACTCAAGCTGCTGTCATCGATGGAATCGATTGTAAAAGCACTCGTCGCGGCAGTAACGCCGTTTGCAGTCGTATCCACTGAGCTCGCCACGCGCTTCCGCTTCAAATCCGCTCTGCGTGGATACGAGGGGCCGTCATCGATTTTGTCGAGGATATGGCTGACCACAGACTCATAGTCATAGGCCAAGCTCTCGCATGTTTCGTGGACGTAAACAGGACAGATGTCGGGGAAGAGTTCTAGAACAGCGATTGTACAGGCGCTTTTTATGCTCTCTTCAAAGGACACTCTACCTAGCTCAGCAACAGCTTTAGGGTCCTCCGCTGGGGCTTCGGCTGGGACTGGTGCATCGTCGTCGGGTACAACAATGACGGGATCAGCTTGTACCTGTTGCCCATCAAGTGCTCCTAGCGGATCACCGGCGAGCAGTGCTTCTGGTTGTCCTTGCATGACTTGCGCAGGCGCGGGCTCGTGAACCGGTTCGGGTACGTGTGCAGGTTGGGCAAGTCCCTCCACCGATGGATTTCGTGGAGCCTCAGCCGGGATATGTAGAGGTGAATCTGGAGCGGCAGCCGCAGGAACAACGAGGAGGAAGTCAGGTATTGGTGGTTTCTGCACGACAGAGATGATGGGAATGCCCGGGTGTTTTGATTTCCGCCGGAACGGTAAGTTGACAGGGAATCGTTTGCGTTTCTCGTCCTGGTGGGAGAGGGCTTTGGTCCCCACACAAAGTATGTTTCTCATCCTGACATCGGCCCGGCCCCCAAAGTAAGGACACAAATGTTAGCAAAGGGACCCCACAGCGAATATGAGGTAGAAACCGTGGTTAGTGAATAAACGAGAGGCTGCGAAGATCCTGTACGGAACAAGACAAAGGATAGTGAAGCGATATTGTTGGAGGTGAGAGTGAGTGAAAATAAAATGTTAAGCGCTCATGTATGTGATGTGTGTGGGGGAGAATATGCTCTTGTCGACGTAGGTGAAAAAATATCGAGAAATATCGAGAACTATGACCAGGCAGCGAGCGTCAGGAGAGAAATATGTAGGCTGGACGAAAAAGGGAACCATAGACAGCTGACTGCTATTTAATCACTCGAAAATAGGAGGCCAACGCTGGGCAATATCCGAGGCAGCATAATACTAGAGATGAAAGCCAATGAAGACAGCGAAGAAAAATTCGACAAAGGGCGAAGCCAAAGACAGAAGATAAGTATATAGAAATGGAGGACGAAGAGACTGGTGGAGCGAGGCTGGCAAGGAGACATCCAAGGGCTATCTCGGAGAATGAGTAACAGCGAGCGCGGCAAATACGGTTGGCAAATATGAGTCGCAAGGCTGAACCCGTGATGGGTCTCTGTCGGTAGTCGTGCTGTGCTGGGGGAGGAGAGGGGTAGTGAGGCGACCTGAGGCAGCTTGCGGCTACTTGAGGCCTGGCAAGGCGACGCTGGGCAATGGCGGAGTAGTGGAGGTGGGAAAGTTGGACATAGCAACAGATATGGCGAGAGCATAAGGATGCGATGAGATAAGCAAGGGAGAGAAGAGATCGCGGAACGGGGCGAGGCCAAGTTGACAAAATAAAAGGGAAGAGCGACACAAGAATGTAAAAATGGAAAGCGTGACTGTCGCACTTGCCGAGACATGTCTGCGTAAATATAACGACGGTGGACGAAGAAGGAAGGAGGGGGTCGAGGAGTGGACGGAAGGGAAGGGAAGGGAAGGAACGGTGCAAGGAGTATAGGTAGAGGAACGCAGGCTGTGGGTGGGAGACTGTATCACTCGTGTTCTGGTGTATACCGACAAATTAAGAATGCAGACAGACGAAGGAGAAAGGTACCTACGGAGCCGACAGAATGGGGGCTGTCTGCGTAGTACGCGGCAGAAGGAGCAACGGAAACGAGGATGATAGCCCGGAGGCGGTCGCACGCAGACGAAATGTTGACGATTTGGAGGTATCTTATCTCTGGAAGGAGCGATCCTGGGATATTCGCAGACGGAAGGAGAATACCAAGAAAATACAGCAAGAGACGAGAAGGACAGAGCGACGGAAGAGTCCGAAGATGAGGATCAAGAGAGGCTGAGATCCGACACTTTGCCAACGTGGACGCTGTCTGCTTCACTCGGTTGATCAAAGGGAATAATTCGTATATGATCACAAAGAGACGCGAAACAAAAAAAGAAAGAGCAAAGCCAGAGAGTGGCAAGTAAGAGCAACAAATAGTACGTCCTTGTCCAGGAGCAGTTACAAACGGAAAGAGTAAACAATCCAGGCAGTACATTGCAGAAGCCGCAGCCGGGCACCACAAGGCCGGCGCCACACTGTAAGTTTGCAAGATGCAGAGGAAAGAGCTATGCTGCCGCCTGTGAAAGACCGACAGCCTGGCGACCATGGATTGGCTGGCAAGAGCAATGGCTGCTCTCTAGTGAGCCATTCTCGACAAGTGCCCGACCTACTTACACCATCGTCCCATGTATGACCCCACTTCAAACAGCCAGGACTCTACGAGCAGTGGGTCCTGATATACAGGAGAATCAAGTGTGCTTACAGACAACCAATACCATAAAGACTGTGTTGTATTTACACAGGTATTGGATTGGACACCGACAGACAGGCGTCTGGGCTGGATATTGCAGACCAAACTAGCGTTGGGGGCGGGTCGTGTAGTGCTGCAGCTTGACGGCTTCCTGCTAATTGCGCGGGTATTGAATTAATGTCGAGTTTCTGAGGTGTCATTCCTACTTGTTGCAGGCCTTTTCTTTCGAGAGCAGCCGCTCACAGCCAATGAACAAGTGCAGGGGAAGCTTGGAGGGTGGGTGGCAGGAGGGGCACAGGGACCAGGCAGGAAAGGGAAAAATGCGAGACATAAAGCAGAAAAGAAAAGAAAACCACATTACGAGAGTACATGGGGTTCGAGATACATGTTCCGAGCCAGGCAGGTCGCGAAAATGAGCCAACGGGAGCCGGTTGCATCAGCAAGACACACTACTACTCATCATAGCATCATGTGGCTGTCCGAAAAATAATAAATGCAGGCAGCGCCGATGTACTCCGTACAAATAGCGCGGGCGTGGGGCGAGAACAGCCACTGTGCAGTTTGCGTGTCTTGAAGGATTTCGTACATAACCCGACCAAAGGTCATTGTTACGCAGAGAGGTGAGAGACAAAAAAAGAGGAAAAGCTACTAGGGACGAAACAGGCCGCTGGTAATTGTCATGGTAGGACAGCACGAAAGTCGAGAGGGAATAGCATGCAGGATTTAACGAACACGAACGACGGACGGAGACCGACAGCCTGGCCAGCAGCTTGAAAAGGTGGGGAATGCAGAAGCAGAAGTGGACGACTAGACAACACAGCGCTCGGTCTCTCGATTTGTGATTCAGGCCAGGCTGACCGGGAGCAGGGGCCTGTTGCCGCCAGTCTCGCCAAGGCAGCAAAAAGGCAACCGGTTTGTTTGAGGTCCCGAGAGTTTTGTGGTGCGCATCGGGGCGGAGCAAAACTGGAGCTTCTGGCGGCCTTCTAGAAGATGTGAAGCTGCCAGAGGACATGAATCCGACAGCTTGTCTCGACGTTGATCTGTGGATTTCGAGCAACGGTGTAGCATGCGTAGAAATAAAGACTGAGCATAGAGGAGGGGCGTAACAGACGAGCGCATTTCTGTCGACAAGTCCGGTGAGCTTAAGCTGCAAGTTCACCAAACGGGAAGAGAAATGGGCTGGAATGGTTACAATCACGAAGAAGTCTGGTGAGTGCTCACTCGAGCCAACTCAGTGTCTTGTCGTCAAACTAATCATATTGAGACAAGAAACATTTAATCACTATTGTATATATACTTACTGTAGCGTACAATAAGGGTAGTGTCATAGGTAAATATACCTATGTCTCTGGAAGGCCTAGCTGCGGGAGTTGCCTCATGGCCCACTAATTTTTCAAGGTGCGCGCAGCGTAACGATCCCAGAAGCACGTCCAAAGCGCCCGAGGATAAAGAGCGCATTCTGTACAATATACGTGAAGGCAAAGTAGGGATACTGAAATAGTAGCGGTAAGGGATGCCCTTGTCGTGAGGTCCTTCCTGGACGAAACAGGAAGCAACGATGCGAAGTGACCGATGCAATCGGTGGGGTGGACATGGCAACTGTGCCGCTCAAGGCCTGGCGAATGCCAGACACAAGACAAATGCAGGGCAGGGTCCGCAGACCGCACACTGGGGCACACGAACAACTTTCACAAGCCAAATGGAAACAACGACCGGCATGCTGTGCGCGTGTTCACAGGACTTTGGTTGTAGTTGCTGGTAGTTGCTGGCTCTTTCCTGTTCTGCAGATCAGTGCTGTTTCCTGAAATGGCTAGGTAGTTTTGCGGTCGCCTTCTTCCCCTATTCAGTGCGTGTTAGTGGTTTCCAGGGCAGGAAGGCAGCCTGGTCAGCCTGGTATGCAAACCGATCGTGCCTGCGCACGGGGCTGTCTTTGCTTGATTTGTCGCTCTCCGGTGGTTCTCTCCTGCCCAGGGAATAGACAGGTTCGAGAATAAACGCCGGTCAGGACCTGTTCCTTCCTCGGGCTGGTCGTCCGCACCTTCCTCATGGTATTTGCAGGCACTGGTATTTCATACGGTAGTTTCCTCTGGACAGCCGAGGAGTGTGGACTTGCATGCTCCAAACAGGCTTAGCGGGGCGCTAGTCCAAGGCACACTGCCATCCATTTCTTGACAGCCTCGTTTTCAACCACGTCGCATCTGGGAGCGAAAGCTTGTCTCGTCGCTCTGACTGTCCGTTTATGAGTTAACATCATCTTTGACCAGCACGCACCACTTTGGGCTGACCGATTCGGCCGTGATGGAGCTGTATGTCGATGCAACAGACCCTCACCTCGTTTTCGACTATTTATTTGTCTTGACTCCTTTTGGGCTGGCCTCATCGTCTGTGTCTTTTCTCTTTTCCGGTTTGAATTAATAATACCAGCGAGGCATTTCCAATGGAGCCATGTGGCCCAAGGCTGACCCCCAGGGACATCCAGGGCCATCAGACAGTGCCGCCGATCCGCCCACCCATTGTCTTTCGTTTCTCCATTGGCAATGCCCAAACGAGGGATGCCTGCGAGGATTGTCAGAGCCTCCTTTCCATACTTCGCACGAATACCAATCAAATACAGCGATTCGGCATTGTATATTGTGTTCTCGGTTGCTGTCTTCTCGCCACTGGTGCGCTCGTGCGCCTATTTAGCTCTTGGCGATGAGCCTCGTGCCCACGATCAAGAGAGCCTTGCCCACAGTGACAAACTTCGTCAACAACAGCCCCTGCCGACGAAGTCGGCATTCGCGTCTTCTGGTCTCCGGCACTAGCTTCCGGGGACGTCATGATAGTTCCTCACTCGACGAAAAAGCGCAAAGTCCGCGGGACAATTCAATGCAACAAGGCCATCTTCCACACAGGAAACAGCTTCTCCGGCGCCCTACTTGTGAGGTGAGGCCAAGAGGCCAAACGAGGCTGACCAATGCGGCTGACCGGTACGTGAATGCCCACTCTTTAGGATAAAATAAAGGTTGAGACAATCTTAATATGTAGCACCATATGATTTTAACAATTCAACGACAGCCTCGCGCTTATTCATGGCGGCCACTGATAGTAGCGTATGGCCATTGACGGTTTTTGCCTCGACGTCGGCGCCGTTAATGAATAGTGATATTGAGAAATGGACGCCCGTGGCCTCGATATCGGCGCTTTTCGGGAGTAGATGCCTCACGACCGAGATATGTCCGAAATACGACGCCACACCAAGGCCTACAAAAGACTCAGGAGAAAACCAGTCTTCCGGGAAATTGATAGCAGACTATATTAAACGGCTCGTCGAATCTTCATCACAAATTCCCGACGCGAGAGGTACTATAGCGGCGTTATCGGCGATATTGGCCTCGTGGAAATGATAACCCTAGTTGTTGGCCGAGTAATCTAAAAAGACGAAGCGGACATTATTTTAACTGAGGAACCTGTTTATATTTGTCGGGGGAGTAATACCGGAGCTAAAGCTGTCAAGATAAAAAACACAGATCTTGGTAAGAACGGTGTGTGTTTGGCGGTGTCAGAGGGTCCTAGGGATAGGGGTTCAATATAGAGAGGATCACGAAGCAAGACAGCCAAAACGTAGGTAGTAGGATGTGCAAAATCTAATCCTTACCCCGCCTTATCGAGAGGAGAGGGCTCGGATGAGTTTATATTATTATCTATAGAAACATGTCATAATCGATTCGAGGCCGAAGGCCACAAATCAGGTGACTAGGCTTATATAATAAAGCGAGGTATGACTAGTCCTTAACCACACGTTAACGCCACGTTTACGAAAGGTTATTCTTTTTAAATAATAAGACTCCCTTCTTTTTAAAAGGAAGAAGGGGTAAGAATTAGTCTTTATTATAATATATACTTACTTTCGTCCTTAAAACTAACGTTTTTATTAATTAATTTATCGTAAAGACTTATTTTATAATTACTTATAATAATTTTAATTCTTTTTTTACGGATACTTTTTTATGATAGTTAAAAAAAGAGAAACGATAAACCTACCCTTCGTTGGGTCGAACCGAGTTACTCGTTCTCGTTTACGAGGTTTTACGAGTCTTTTACGTATAAACGTCGACTTTATTAAAGACTTTAACTTATTACTTACGGTTAAAGGTTCGATCGAATCTTTAAAAACTAAAGTAGTAATAATAATATTAATTAATAGTAAAAAAAAAGAAAAAAATAGTAGAATTAATATTATTATAAAAGAGTAAGTAAAAAAAAAAGACGACGAAAAAAGAGTGTTAAAAAAAAAGTTAATAGTATTTAAAAAAAAACGAGTTTTTAAAAAAAAGATCGTATTTTTAAAGAACGTAAAACGTTAACGAGTTTTTCGTTAAAACGAAAAGATTAAAAATAAATTTACCGTTTTTTTTTCTTTAACTTTATTATTTAAAGAAAATTCTTTTTAATTAAATAATAACTTAAAAGTCGACGAAGAAACGTAAAAAAAGTGTAAATTAAAAGATTTAAAGATACGACTATCGTTTAAAGTTTACGGGAATTATTTTACTTTTAAAGATCGA